GCGGGGGCTGACCGGATTTGATGATCTGCTCAATGACCATGATGTAGTCGTCAAAGTCGTCCGACAGCTCCTTCGACCGCAGCCTGGTCTTGTACACTGCGGGGCAGGCGGGGGGCCGAGCTCGTCAGCCGCACCTGGGCGCACCTGGCGCACGGCGCCCCCCGCGCACATCCGAGTGCGGTCTCAGCCGGTCGTGCTGTAGTTCCCCGTCCCCCACACCCCCAGTTTCACACCCAGCCACGCGCACACTTACAGCCGCCCGCAACTGGTCATTACGCAGGACAGCTACTCCTAGTCCTGTCCCCTGAAGCCACTCACACAAACCCAGCCCTCTCCTACCCAGGGTGCCCTCATCGCGTGCACACACACACACCCCGTTCACCCACAAGCACAGGCACCCACACCGTGGCCCACGCACGATCCCACGTGCACGCGTTCCCGCCCCCCTCACCGTAGTCCACTCCGGGCTCGCAGGCCTTGTCCAACCGCTCGTCCAGGGTGACCTTTTCATCTACCTGATGCATGAAGCAGTTCTCTGCAGGGTGGGAGGGACACCGTTAGGTCCCACAGCTCATCCCCTGGTGTCCATGGGGTGTGGGATTCCGGGCCCCTTGGGTCACCCCCATGGGAGTGGGGGTCCGGTGGGCATGGCCTCCATGCACCCACCCTCAGCACAGCGGCACATGTCATTGTGGCAGAGCTTGCTCAGCAATCCATCCTCCTTGTCCAGGTGGTAGAAGCGAGTGCAAGACTCATCTGTGTGCCGAGGGGAGAGGAAGGTGCGGAGGATTAGGGTCTCCACCCCAGAGACCCTGCCTTGGATGGGAGGAGGCTCAGATGACTGACTCTGGTCCTGCAGACCTGGAGGCACTAAGTCCCCATCCCTGGGGCCCTCAGCTCCCCTCGGCACAGACCCCTGGGACCTTGGGTGCCCTGGCCAGCTGCTTACCCAGGTTGTAATAGGAGTACACCTTGACGGCCCCAGGCTGGATGAGCCCCACATTAAAGAACTGGTGAATTTTGAAGGACAAACAGTCCTCTAGGTTGTGCGAGATCTGGGAAGAAAGAAGAGGTTGGTCAGTGGGGCCACATGGGTGGGGAGGCCAGCATAGGATAGGGGTGCAGGGGTGGGGTTGGAGAAACTCAAGAATCAAGGAAGGATGTGGGTGAGGATGATGGGTGGTGGGAATCTCTGCCAAAATATTAATGAGCACTTCAACAAATCCATTGTCTTTTTCTCCAGGGCTCACGGCTAGATTACAGATAACCTCCTTTCAGCTCCAGTGGCCATGTGATTGAGTTCTGGCCAACGAATTGCTATGTATATGCATAAAACATACCTCATGGTGGGTAATACTGCATCGAATATTTGAAAGCTAAGAAGGTTACCTTAAAGTTCTCAGCACACACACACACACACACACACACACACACACACACACATTTTATCTGCATGAGGGAATGGATGTGTTACCTAACCTTATCACAGTGGTCATTTCCCAATATATATGTATATCCAATCATTACACTGTACACCTTAAGCTTACACAATGTTATATGTCAATTATCTCAGTAAAGCTCGAAAAAAATAGATCTAGACAAATGTATGTATCTGTGGTAGATGTATATTTGGAGGAAAATGCCAATAATTAATGAATTTGGGTGAAGAATCTATGGAACTTGTTTATACTGCTCTGTATTCCTCTGTAGGGTTGAAATTATATACAAATCTAAAAGTACAAAAAGATACAACAATTTTGAAAAACCCATCTTATGCACAAACTCTTTTATTCCAGAAAGAATGGACCCAGCAGAGGACCCCAAAATCCTAAGGATTGCAGAACTACCAGATGGAAGGTCCTAGACCCCTGAGTGACCACATGGGGCAGGAGGCCCCTTTGGTACGTCCTGTGCCAACTGGACTTCACATGAGTGAGAAATATAGTCTCTTGTGTTGGGGCTGGATTCTTAGGGGTTTACTATAGGAACTACTATTACTTAAGCTGATGAACATGGAGTGAGGGGCACTGAGGGGTATCAGGAGTTAGCAGGGAGGGTAACAGGATAGGGGGACTGGGAAGAAAGGAGCAGAGGTGTGGCGGAAGCCCCGATCATGTTAGAGATGAGGAGGGCAAGAGAAAGCCAGAGAGAAATACTTAGGGGATGGCGAGCCAGGAAGGCCTTTCTTGCCATTGAGCACTTATTTTTCCTTTTTTCAAAAAAAAAAAAGTAGCTGTTTTTCAATGGCTAAGACTGATAAGAAGTTGGAAGAAGTTGGAACATCAAGTGTCAAAAGGTGAGATGCTTAGAGAAGGTGGGCTGACCTGGGTTGACCACTGGTTGACCTGCACTGACCTCCTTCTTGACCTAGGTTGACCCCCTTGTCAACCACCTCGTTTCATGTGCCCCTCCCCCTACCACCCAGCAGCACAGACCCTGTCTTGCCTGGCCTGGGGCTGGCCTGACACGGAGGCCAAGGCCAATGGGAAAAGAAAGGGAAGCCAAATTAGGAATAAGATCCCAATGGAAGTCTTACCTTGTCCAGGTAGATGATGAGGGTGTTTTTGTTGGAAAAGGCCTTGTTCAGCTCATACTTAGAGATGTATCTGTCCACACCACTGCTCAGCTGGGGAAGGGCAGGGTTTGTGAAACATCCCTCCTCCACCAGCTTCTCCCAGACCCCAGGGTTCTCCCCAGCTATCCCAGTCCTCCCAAGCCCAAGCCCTTCATACCAGCTCGAGGTCACCAGTGTCAGGAGCAAAGCCAGTCATCATGGATATGTCCAGAATGGACATAGTGGCATCCTGGTTTCCCAGGTACCTGAGTGGGGCAGGGAGAGAAGGGTTGGGTGCCAGGGTAGGGTCATCCCTCGGAGATGGAGCCTAGACAAGGGGGTCTTCAACGACAGTGCGTTTAATGAATACTCACCTTCCTATACGTCTCATTGATCTATACCTCTGTGCCTGGCAGTATGAGAGTTCTTGACATTGTGATGAACATCGCAAAGATCGTGGAAACAATTATAATCGTCCCCTTGATTACTGAGATTGCTTTGCAAAGTCTCAGCTTGCATCATTATTGCTAGTCTCACACCGCCGTGCACGGCCAGGATGCCTGTGGTATCTACCTCCCAGTGGGTACTTAGGGTGGTACTAGACCCACAGTGCATGCCAGGAAAGGATTGGGTACCACGGACATTATTTGTAAGAAGGCTTGTTGGTGACAGAGGGATGGCCAAGATGAACCTGAGACCCATCTCTTACCTGGTGCAGATGTCAAGGATCATGGTGCTCTTGGCATCCTGAGGCTTCTTGACTAGAAACAGAAAACAGAAGGATGGATGGGTGGGGGTGCCTGGGTCTCAACATGGGACGTTGGAGTGGGAGAGGGAGAAGGGTGACTGGTCTTCACCCCTTTTACCTGTTTCAGGGGCTCGGCGTATGGAAACCCTGAGGTCAAACTTCTTGCAGGTGGTTTTGCCTTTGATCTTGGCGTGGTACACCGTCACCACCTGACGACCAGGGAGGCGGGGGAGATGAGGTGTCAGCCCATGTGACTTGGGAAAGAGGGTTCCTCTGGGGCCCAGGGGCCGAGGGGAGGTGGTGGGCCACGGAGGTGTGGGCTCTTGTCTTACCGACAAAGTGCCTTGTCCCTTTCCTTTAGCTGTTAAGGTGAAATCTTCATTTTCCTTGGTCTGCAGGGAGCAGAGAGAGAAGAGAGAGCATGGGGAACCAAACCTTCCCCTGGCTGCGATGCCCATCTGCCCTCCTCCCTGCCTCCTGGCAAACCCTGGCTGGCGAGAGGGTATGGGGAGCGGCTGTACCTCCTCTGACCGCAGGAGGCTAGCGGATTCCCAGTGGATGCGGTGTGTGACCGGAGAGCTGCGGCTGGGCAAGTGGATGGACACATCCAGGTTCAGGTCCTTGTGATCAGGGACGTCCCTCTGGTATTGGGCCAAGGCTTGGAACACCATGAAGGTGGCCTAGAGCCCATGAGAAAGACAGAGAGAGAGAGAGAGAGAGAGAAGGTGAGCAGGAGACTGGGAAGGTGGTTGGAGCCCATTGGGGGGTGCAGAGGCTCAGGTCACAGCTGGAGCACTGGCAGTGAGAGCTAGAACAGCCCAGGGAGGCTCAGGGTAAGATCTGGGCTCGTTGGGTGCTAGGGACACGTTCTCGAATTATCCAAGGGGGAGAAGTTTAGACCAGGGCTTCAAGACATTTAGAACAAGTCTATATTCCACCAGAAAGTGCAGACCTAAGACTGAAGGTCTAGCAACACTGAGATGTGGTCTTGACCCATCCAGAGGGGAGTCTGGAGCAAAGGTTTTGAGGCACAGAGAACGTATCTGGAACCCACTTGTGAAAAAAGAATACATGTAGGGTTGGGGCACACTGAGTGCCAGATCTAGAATCTACAAGTGGCACAGTAGAACTGAGGACCCACCAAAAAATGAACGGGGTCAACGTGGAGTCTGAGGTTGCTGAAACTATGGCCTAGAAACCACGAAGGAGACAGGGACTTGGATAACGCCCTAAGAACCTGGTCTAGAACTCACAGTAAGACAAGGTGACCCCGGGAACCCGCTGGGAGGAAAAGCATAGTCTATAACCCAGCAGGAAGATGGCACAAGATGCGGAGCCAGGTGGAGCTGGGAACACGGTCTAGAAACCAGGAGGGAGAGGGAGGCTCAGACACAACTGGGGGCCTTCAGAACACAGGTCAGAATCCACAGACGCGTTGGCAACTGAAAAAACCTGACTTCTCAACTCCACGGCAGGCACCCTGGCTCATAGAAGAGAAGACCGCCCCCCTTGGGCTCAGCGTCTTCTCTGGGAGGCCACCGGGTGGCCAGAGGAGGGGGGGCTTCAGGGCCCCGGGGATGTGGGGCCGCTTGCCTGGGTGGAGCCGTAGCCACCCCCGTAGTATCTCTGTTCGTTGAGCCAGCGCGCGACGGGGGGCACAAAGTCAAAGTCTTTGAGCACCAGCAGGGCCAGGAGGGCGTAGGATGTAGCCTCCACGTTGTAGAGCTTCTGACCAGGCTCCTCCCAGCGGTTCCTGTCTACAGAGAGAACGCACGCACGCTGTGCCCACTGCCCTGTCCAGCCTGGAGAGAGCTCAGAGAAGGCTCAGGAACAGGCCCAGGCTAGACTTCCTGGCTGACATTCAACCTGCTGGCTCCTGCCTCACCCTCTTCCTGAATCGGCTTCAGTCCTTCATTTGAACTCTGAGTTGCAGCCCCACTGACCTACAGCACATCCCCTAAATTTGCCATGATCATTCTTAACCTCTGAGCCTTTTCATATTCTGTTTCCTCTGCAGCACCTTTCCTCCACCTACTCCTTGTTCAGCCTACGGTGCACAGTTCAGCTTCAGTGGTACCCCAAGGCCCTTCGCTCTGTGCCTCAAAGGATCCTGTCCTATGATGCCCTAGCTATCTGTTTACTCATTTCTTTTCTCAACTGGAGTATGAGGCCATGATGGCAGGGGCCATGCCATGTTCACTGTGATGTTCCAAGTGCCTAAGAAAGTATTCATGGCAGAGACTGTCACCAAGACCCATTCCCTCCTCTTCCTGGGCGCACAGCTGGACTACATCTCCCAGCTGCCTCTGCTGGTAAGTACGGACACATGACTGAGCTCCGACCAATGGAATGTGTGCGCCAATGATGGGGGGCCCCTTACTACATGCCTTATACATCCCTTGTAAATCCTCCTGACTCTTTCCCCTCCTGCTTGGATGGAGTGGATTCCAAGGTTCCAGGGTGGCAGAGCCACGGAAAGGCAGAGGCCTGGATCCCTCTGTTCACTACCAACAGACTTCTGTGTTAAACCCCGTCAGTGTATGTTACATGATGTTACTTGGGATACGTTCCATGAGTGAGTACAAAACTGATACAGCATCATCGCTGGAACCAGTGATTAAGTGCGAGGTGCTGTGCTAAGTCCCCTGGGGCATTATCTTATCCAATCCTAATTACCCTTGAGATAATGATAATGTTAATTAACAATACTAAAGGCAATGACAAGCTCAGGAATAGAGCTCTTACTGTGTGCCAGACCCTCTCCTACCTGCGTTTCTCATTTAATCTTCATAACCACCCTCTCATGTAGGTTTCATTTTAATAGGATGTCCAGAGAGGTGAAGTGACTTGTACAAGTTCATGCAGTGAGGATGTGGCAGAGTGGGACTTGATCTAGGGTCTGTCTGATGTCAGAGTCCATCTTGTTGCAATGGGCCTTCTTGTGTGGCTTCTCACAAAGAGGACTTCTCACACCTTCAGCCCCTCCACCCCAGCATGGCTTAGCACCACCCATCCCAGTGCAGCTTAGAGCCATGCATCCCAGCTCCAGATGCCCCCCTTGGACCCCAGTCATGTACTCCTTCTTACCCCACCAGGCTGCCCCTCACCTGTGGCTGTGCTCAGGAATTTGTCAAGGAGGGGGCCCTCCAGCCTGTCCAACAGGGCCAGGGCATAGCCAGCAATGGCCACAGAATATGGCCTCCGCAGGTTCCTGTAGTGGGCTTCAAGGAAGTCTCTTGCCTTATTGATGCTGCCTGGCAGGCTCTATGAGAAAAAGGATTGGGTACTTCGGTGAGGTGGGCATTATTGCCACAGTAAGCCAGTCAGGATCACACAAGCACCACTTCAAGGGTCCCAGGATGATTTCTGTCCTTGGGACATCTGTCAGATACATTTTTTAGGGTTTTCCAGACATTTTAGCCACTGTGAGCTGAGTTGTTGCTGAGTACCTGTATGTGCCCACAGCAATCTATATACTCAGTGGTCAATGTCTCACAACCAGCTCTCCAGTGTGTTGGGGAGAGTGGCTTACAGATTGCTATGGGTTGGGGCACACTGAGTGCCAGATCTAGAATCTACAAGTGGCACAGTAGAACTGAGGACCCACCAAAAAATGAACGGGGTCAACGTGGAGTCTGAGGTTGCTGAAACTATGGCCTAGAAACCACGAAGGAGACAGGGACTTGGATAACGCCCTAAGAACCTGGTCTAGAACTCACAGTAAGACAAGGTGACCCCGGGAACCCGCTGGGAGGAAAAGCATAGTCTATAACCCAGCAGGAAGATGGCATAAGATGCGGAGCCAGGTGGAGCTGGGAACACGGTCTAGAAACCAGGAGGGAGAGGGAGGCTCAGACACAGCTGGGGGCCTTCAGGACACAGGTCAGAATCCACAGACGCGTTGGCAACTGAAAAAACCTGACTTCTCAACTCCACGGCAGGCACCCTGGCTCATAGAAGAGAAGACCGCCCCCCTTGGGCTCAGCGTCTTCTCTGGGAGGCCACCGGGTGGCCAGAGGAGGGGGGGCTTCAGGGCCCCGGGGATGTGGGGCCGCTTGCCTGGGTGGAGCCGTAGCCACCCCCGTAGTATCTCTGTTCGTTGAGCCAGCGCGCGACGGGGGGCACAAAGTCAAAGTCTTTGAGCACCAGCAGGGCCAGGAGGGCGTAGGATGTGGCCTCCACGTTGTAGAGCTTCTGACCAGGCTCCTCCCAGCGGTTCCTGTCTACAGAGAGAACGCACGCACGCTGTGCCCACTGCCCTGTCCAGCCTGGAGAGAGCTCAGAGAAGGCTCAGGAACAGGCCCAGGCTAGACTTCCTGGCTGACATTCAACCTGCTGGCTCCTGCCTCACCCTCTTCCTGAATCGGCTTCAGTCCTTCATTTGAACTCTGAGTTGCAGCCCCACTGACCTACAGCACATCCCCTAAATTTGCCATGATCATTCTTAACCTCTGAGCCTTTTCATATTCTGTTTCCTCTGCAGCACCTTTCCTCCACCTACTCCTTGTTCAGCCTACGGTGCACAGTTCAGCTTCAGTGGTACCCCAAGGCCCTTCGCTCTGTGCCTCAAAGGATCCTGTCCTATGATGCCCTAGCTATCTGTTTACTCATTTCTTTTCTCAACTGGAGTATGAGGCCATGATGGCAGGGGCCATGCCATGTTCACTGTGATGTTCCAAGTGCCTAAGAAAGTATTCATGGCAGAGACTGTCACCAAGACCCATTCCCTCCTCTTCCTGGGCGCACAGCTGGACTACATCTCCCAGCTGCCTCTGCTGGTAAGTACGGACACATGACTGAGCTCCGACCAATGGAATGTGTGCGCCAATGATGGGGGCCCCTTACTACATGCCTTATACATCCCTTGTAAATCCTCCTGACTCTTTCCCCTCCTGCTTGGATGGAGTGGATTCCAAGGTTCCAGGGTGGCAGAGCCACGGAAAGGCAGAGGCCTGGATCCCTCTGTTCACTACCAACAGACTTCTGTGTTAAACCCCGTCAGTGTATGTTACATGATGTTACTTGGGATACGTTCCATGAGTGAGTACAAAACTGATACAGCATCATCGCTGGAACCAGTGATTAAGTGCGAGGTGCTGTGCTAAGTCCCCTGGGGCATTATCTTATCCAATCCTAATTACCCTTGAGATAATGATAATGTTAATTAACAATACTAAAGGCAATGACAAGCTCAGGAATAGAGCTCTTACTGTGTGCCAGACCCTCTCCTACCTGCGTTTCTCATTTAATCTTCATAACCACCCTCTCATGTAGGTTTCATTTTAATAGGATGTCCAGAGAGGTGAAGTGACTTGTACAAGTTCACGCAGTGAGGATGTGGCAGAGTGGGACTTGATCTAGGGTCTGTCTGATGTCAGAGTCCATCTTGTTGCAATGGGCCTTCTTGTGTGGCTTACAGAGAGGACTTCTCACACCTTCAGCCCCTCCACCCCAGCATGGCTTAGCACCACCCATCCCAGTGCAGCTTAGAGCCATGCATCCCAGCTCCAGATGCCCCCCTTGGACCCCAGTCATGTACTCCTTCTTACCCCACCAGGCTGCCCCTCACCTGTGGCTGTGCTCAGGAATTTGTCAAGGAGGGGGCCCTCCAGCCTGTCCAACAGGGCCAGGGCATAGCCAGCAATGGCCACAGAATATGGCCTCCGCAGGTTCCTGTAGTGGGCTTCAAGGAAGTCTCTTGCCTTATTGATGCTGCCTGGCAGGCTCTATGAGAAAAAGGATTGGGTACTTCGGTGAGGTGGGCATTATTGCCACAGTAAGCCAGTCAGGATCACACAAGCACCACTTCAAGGGTCCCAGGATGATTTCTGTCCCTGGGACATCTGTCAGATACATTTTTTAGGGTTTTCCAGACATTTTAGCCACTGTGAGCTGAGTTGTTGCTGAGTACCTGTATGTGCCCACAGCAATCTATATACTCAGTGGTCAATGTCTCACAACCAGCTCTCCAGTGTGTTGGGGAGAGTGGCTTACAGATTGCTAATTACCCTGGTGTAAATTCTCCCACCAATGCCAATTTCAGGCTACCAACATGACCTCCCTGAACACGGAGTGCGGAAGAGATGCCCCAAGTAGGCACTCATGAGCTAGCATGAGCCAGGCTCAGCACTCCACTGGGTATACCTCTTATCTTAACAATATTGTCATCATCTCATCACCATCTTCAACATCATCTTCAATCATAGCTATGCTTACTCTATGCCAGTCAAATAGCCCCTCATTTAACCTCCAAATCCTGCCAGCATCATCCCTACTTCAAAGATGAGAATACTGAGACCTAGGGAGGTGAGGGATGGAGGAAGACATCATTTGCAGTGTTTGTTGATTTCCGCGGTGTAAATACTACTATGGCCGACTTCAACCTATGAACGTGGCCTCACTGAATGAATGTAGTGTTAGGAAGAGATGGGAGGTAACAAAGTATTATATAGTAATTCCACCATACGGGTACAATAGACCTGGACAGCCTCAAGAGCATAGATAATGATGCAGGTTATGAAATAATAAGGAAATGATGAGTTTTGAGTGTTTCTTACCTTTGCTTTTAATATTTAATGCTTAGTCTCACTTAAATGTAAATTCATATACTTTAATTTTTAATAATGATTGTGTTTAACAACCAGCTTGCAAAATTCCGGGAGATTTAACAACTGGCTTTCACAAACTGGTTTTGAACCCCAGCCCTCTGATTTCACAGCCTATGCTCTTCACTTTTCTAATGTTGCCGTAGAAACTAATCCTTTTCCCTGCCCAGCTTTCTCTCCTCCATCCGCCCTTGAATTCTGTACGACCTTCTCTCCCTTTCATTCCCGTGGCCACAGTGGAAGCAACCATATTTGTCCAGTAAGACCTACTTCCTGACCTGAGCAGATTAGTCCAGTCTGACCAATCACCTGACCCAGTCTGACCAATCAGAGTCCTTCCATGGGAATCAGGATGCTCCAGCCTTGGCCTGGCCATTTCCCCAAGAAAGGCAGCCGTGTTCTGCCAGGCAGGCTAGGTGGCAGGGAAAGCCACTCACCTAAAGGGTTGCCTACCTCTTGGGCTGTTCCAAAGATTACAGGATTCACATGTGAAGCTCTCAGATAAATGTCTTAGTTGACTGCCTGATAAATGTTAGGTATTATTGTGGCTCTACAATGGTGGGGAGTGGAAGTTACATCTCACCCTCCAAGGTGGCTGTGCCCTGGGGAGGGAGAGGGAGGAAGGGAGAGATGAGGGCACTTACATTGACTTGTCCCTCGCAAATATCTTTAGCCTCTTGTAGCGCGATGAGAACGAAGGCTGTGAGGGACATGTCTTTCTCCTCGGCATTCCGGAAGCCACCCTACGGTGGGGAGCAGGAGACAAGGATTGGGTCACAAGTGTGTCCCCGTATGCCAGCCGGGCCCCTTCCAGGATCAACAGGTCAAGGCAGGGCTGGGACTCTCCCCGGTGTCTCCCAAGAAGGGCCAGACTCTTTAGTATTCATTCATTCATTCATACATCCATTCATTCATTCTGCCTATGTTGCTGGTTCTGTGGATAAGATGGTGGATGAAAATCAGCCCCAGCCCCAGCTCTCACAGAGCTCCTGCATCTAATAGGGAAGATAGACACGAGCCACCCAGCTCATGAACAGATACACAGCTACGCACTGATGAATGCTACGCAGGAGGAGCGGACATGGCAGTGAGCACGGACAGTGGGCACGACTCGGTTGGGAAGCTTATGAAAGGAATCCCTGAGGGGTGACGGACGGAGCCCCCAGCTGAGGGGTGAGTAGGAGTCAGCTCTCAAAGAAGGTGGGATTGGCATGCCAGGCAGGGGGAACAGCACGTGCAAAGACCCTGTGGCTGGATAGAACAAGTAGAGATGGACTGTGGAGAGTAGGGAGGTTGTGAGGCTGGGTGCCTGAAATGTTGGGTTAAGGCAATGATCCTCCATCTTAAGCACACATCTGCGTCACCTGGGTGGGGTGAGGTTGGGAGGGGTTGTTAAAACTCCTGTCCCGGGGCCCTGCCCCTAAAGTTTCTGATTCTGTGCATCTGGAGTCCAGCCTGAGAACGTGCATTTCTAACATGTTTGCAGGTGATGCTCAGGCTGGTGGCCTGGGGACCATACTATCAGAACCCCAGTTCTAAGGAGTTGTGTGTTTATTCCAAGAGGGAATGGGGAGGGACTTCCATTTTGCACTGGGCCCTGCAGGTCTCTGGCTTCTGCAACGGAGGACTGACATGCGCTCCTTTATTTCCGTGCCCGGGATCCCCACCTCTGCTCATCGAACTGGGCAGTGAGTGCATGGACGGGGGTTCTTTCTCCTGCGACGCTCAGGTGCACCTGTCCCCCAGCCTGCCCTGAATGCTTGGCTCTTACAATCATCTCTTGGTGTATCACGGGCCCATCCTCCTGGAAGACTCCATCCGGCTTCTGCTTCTCCAGGATCAGCCATTTGACAGCCCCGCAGAGAACTTGGGAGTCGATGGCGATGAGGTTGGCTGCCAGAGAGAAGACCTTGACCACGTAGGCTGTCAGCCTGGGGGTGGACACAGAGCATAAGCCATCCCAGCCAGCCAATGAGCAGGGAGCGGCAGGACTGGGCCTGATTTCCCTGCCGAAGCCTCGGGATCCAGTATTGCGTGCAGGCAGTGCTTAAGGATGGCCGGTCACTGCGGCCAGCGCCTGGACTCTGCGGCTGGAGGGGTCAAGGCCGGGGACAGGCAAGCTGACCGGGACACTCACCACGTGCTGGACGGCCGGTTCTGGAAGGCCGCGAAGGCCGAGTTGGGCTGTCTGAATGCCAGCTGCTGGGTGTACCCTGCAGGGAAGGGATAAGTATCGCTATGGAAGCAGGGGCTGCATGGAAGGGGTGGCTGGTGTGGGTACCCCAGGGAGGGGAGGGCTTAGAAAGGGAACAAGGATTCTGTGAAGGGCAGGACGGGGGTTCTGAGAGGAGAGGGGGGCCTCGGGGCAGCGGACAGGATTGTTTGGCGAGGAATGGGGAGGACTTTTAGGGAGAAGGTCTTAGAGTGAGTGGCGGGGGTCAGAGACACGGGGAAGGAGTTCTCACAGGAGAGGGCGTTCAGAGCGGGGAGGGGTCTCATGCGGGGTTGGGGCCAGGGGGCCTTAGTGGGGGAGGGAGCTCAGAGAGGGGGCCCAAAGCCGCCCGGGGTCTCAGGAAAAGGTCAGGATTTTGCGGTTAGTCCCTGAGGAGGAGGGATTCACAGCAAGGCGTGGGTCTCGGGTGGAGGGCGGGGCCTCGCCGGGGGGCGGGGTCTCAGGGACAGGTTTGGAGGTTCCTGAAGAGATTCAGAGGGGGGAGGGGTCTGAGGGCGGGCGGGGCCTCTGGTGGGCGGGGCGAGGGCGCGCACCCTTCTTGATGAGCTCCAGGGCCTCCTGGCGCTTCTCCAGGCCGAACTTCTCCCACTGCTCGGTGTGGTCCAGGTAGTGCACGGCGATGACGGTGGGCGTCATGCCGATCATGTTCTGCTCGCCGCAGCCCGACGGCGTCACGATGAGATGCTTCAGCCGCTCGCCGTCGATGGCGTCCTCCGCCAGCTGGGCCACCGGGGTCCCTGCGGCCGGGCGGAAGGGCTGCGCTCAGGCAGGCGGGCCACCGACCAGCCCGGGCCCGAGGGCGCCGGGCTGTGCTGGAGGGGCGCTGCGCGGCCTGGTGGCCGGAGCTGGGGGGTCTGCCTTGGGGGCGAGGGCTGTGCGTCACCAGGGGACTGGTCCCTGCGCCCTCCTGTTACTCCCTTAGGAAACAGTTCCAGCAACAGTCGTCCTTAAGGCATAGACCCGGCCTCGCGCTGTTGGCCAGGCCTTGCGCCGCACAGCACCCTGCGCGGCTGCCTCGCCCTCCCCACAGCCGCATGGAGCTCTGCTCCTGGCCCCTTCGCAGATCAGGAAACCACGGGTCTCTCCCCAGAACTTTGCACGGCGCTTTCCAGCCACATCTTGTCTCTTCTTGCCTGAACCCACCATCCCTAGGCCATTGGGGCTGTTGAACTCTTGTTTCTCACTTAAAATTTACGGGCAAAAGCTATTTGCCCAAACAAATACTGCCTAGAACCGTCTATGGAACACATCAAGGAGGTGGCTGTTGTAGCTCAAGTGGAGGAGGGGGAGCCAGAATGTGGCGGAACTGCGTTCCGGGCCCCTCCGACGTCCCCCCAGGCCCCAGCGGGTCTGACCCTGCAGAAGGATCTTGGTCTCTGACTCCGTGCCCGGAACCTGGTCGCTGACGTCTGCGGCGTGGACCTCCTCGCGCTGCACTCCGTCTGCGGACGGGAGGGGCGCAGCAATGGCACCGGAACCCCCCGCGGGGCACTGCGGGGGCCCCCCCCCCCCCCACCCCCCGCCTCCTGCCGCCGACTCACTTTGGCCTAGGCGTTCCGGGTCCAGTGTGCGAATGGCCACAGTCTTGTTGACTCTGATTCCTTCCGGCTACACGGGGTTGGGGGCGGTGGGGAGGTCCGGCGGATAAAAGGACAGACAGACAGACAGCTGGTCAGCAGGGCACTGTTGTTCTGGGATGACTGCAGCATAGACAAGGCGACCTCTGCCCATCCTAGCCGGGTGCCTGGGAGGCAATTACTTAACTTGTCTGTGCCTCAGCTTCCTCCCCTCTACATAAGAAGCAATGCCAACACCTTCTTCATGCTGATCTTGTGTGAATTAGTAACAAAATCGCAAAGTCATTGGCACAAAAAGTACAGCATAGGGATGTAGTCAATAATGTTATGGCGAGATTCTAACCACTTATCGGGGTGAGCATTTTGCAATGTATATAATAGTTGAATCACACTGTGTGCTACACCTGAAACCAATGTAATATTGTATATCAACTATTGTTCAATAAAAACTAAACAACCCCCTCCCCAAATTATAAATACCAAAACAACAAAACATTTCCAAATATTCCCATGTGCCTAGACACTTTCTTTACTTTTAATCTTCACCACAACCACAGACTGGGTACTGCTATTATCACTGCTGTTCCAAAGATAGGAAATGTGGGTCCAGAGAGGTAAAGTAACTTGCCCAAGGTCACACAGCTAGTAGAGCAGAACCGAATAGTCCAGCTCCAGAGTCTGTGTGTGTCTTTGTGTTGGAGGGGGTGGGGCAAGCAGGCTATGTGACCCTAGAGAGTCTATGTTTTTAGCCTGTTGCCTCTTAAATGTCTCTAAAGAAAAGAATGTGCACAACACCTGGCAAATAGTAAGAGCTCAGTTAAAATAGGACTATGTAAGTTAGTGCCCAAGTCCTAACTCAGGCTCTCATGTGTTTACAGAAAGCCCTGCACGGTGGGAGGTGCTGTTTGTACCTTCCCAGGACACATGCTTCTTTTACATGGTAATCACGCCTGGACTTTCCTTTACGGACTGAGTGTCCTCCAGTGAAGTGCTGGTAAGTATGTAACATGCAGCTCTCCAAAAGCACCTGATCTGTGGCACTGCCAATTTCTGTGGTGCAAATCCCCCACCAGTGCCACATGGAACCATACTGAGGCCCAAGGCAAAGTGGAAACAGGTGCCCCTAAGTATTCATGTTTTGTATTTTGAATGGTTAGTTTTATGGAAAAAAAAATTGAATGTGTAAAGTGAGTTTTCTCATTAAAGTGAGGGTAAAAAATGTAATAAATTCTGGTTTGGGTATTAAACCATTGCAGTATAAGATTACAGTGTCAGTTTTAATATATCTACTCTTCTATGTTTCAATATTTTTTGAACTACTTTAACATTTTGGGAGGATTTAACCATTAAACCATTTTGGCCATAAAAAAAATATACACAGACATGTGAACGGAGAACTCATTTTTCCTTTTGCTTCAGGTTCCGATATGGTTGACACTGTCAGATCCTGTCATTTTAGATTTTGATATTCTGTTCATCATGGATTTGGGGAGCACTGATTTTGGTTTCTTAAAATATCCCATTAAAATACTGTTGATCTTGCTCATGATCTCATGTTTTGCTTTAAAATATTAATAAGAGATGATAACCTATTCTTACCGATTTTATCGCTTATTATGTTTGAGGATGTTCAACACCATAGGAAACAGTAGAAATATAATAATGTATATTTTAAGGGAAAAACCATAGGCAGAAATACAAGCTTTGTCCGTTTTCTCATTGAAGATTATTGCTTTATAAAATCTGTTCCATGAAACAAGTTCTCCGAAGATTTTTAAGTCATAAGAAAACTCCTCTACTGAAATGTTATAAATATATTTGATATTAAACTATACTTTAATGAGAACACACACTATTGGACTTTACTCCTGAGCTTTTTGGTGCCCCCTAAAATTCCATGCCCGAGGTCAGAGCCTCCCATGTCCCACCCTGATCTGGGTCCTACTTCCAAACTTCCAGGACTGCTAAGGCTCCTGAGGTGGACACTGCATTTCTAGTGCCTCAGAGCCTGGGTGTCCAGCTTGGCCTGACAGCACGGGGGAAACAGGAGCGTGTCCTAAAGGACAAGAGGTGGCAGGTGCCCCTGGGACTCACCACGACCTTCAGGGTCTTCTTGACACCATCGCTGATGAAGTGGTTGTAGACGGCCGCCTTGACCTCCACCTCCTGGAGGCCGATCTTCAGCGGCACAATGACATAAGGCACGGCCACCGAGGATTTGGGCGGGATGACCAGGGTCTGCTGGTGGCGCCTCTTGGCAGTGGCCAGGCTGCAGAAGGCTGGATTGTAGAGCAACTCCACCCTCACCTGCAGAGGAGGGTGGGAGAGTATCGAGTTGGGGCGTGTGCCGTGGACCCCTCATGCCCCCCATCATGCCTCTGCTGCCCCAGAGGCCCACCTTGAGCTCCTCCATCTCCCGGTAATTGTACAGGACGGCCCGAATCTCCACTTGCTCATTGCGCACGACGGAGTAGGGCAGCCGCAGGTCAATGAAGAAGTCTTGCATCACTGTGACCTCATAGGGGTCGGCCACACAGATCCCTGCCGGGGAGTGGGATGTCAGGGGTGGTAGAGGGTGGACCGGGTGCAAGCTCCTGCAAGCCCCTGGGGCTCAGGGCTCACCCCTGACCACTGCAGCCGTCCCAAGTTAAGCCTGCATTTGCAGAAGCCCAGAAACTGAACAATGTTAATGGTGATAAATTATCACGATGGTGGCAGCTGGGAGTTGTCATACCCTAGCGATTGGTATTTTCTTTGTAGCTTTACTCATAGGTAGGTGTGCAGAAGGGAAGTGGAACTGCAGGCCAGAGCTGCGCTCTCCAAAACGGGGGTCGCAACCCCACGTGGTTACTGAGCACTGGAAACATGAACTGTCTCTTTGGTTTCATTTTCCTTTAAGTCAGAAGGAAACTTAAAAAACGTTGCTCGTTGTGACTGTACTAAAGCCCATTCAATGGTACACCTCCATCAAAGGGGGACTTTGACGGTGGGTGAAGGACATCTCAGTTGAAAAACATGGTGCTTGATTCAGTAATCGGAAAACTTTTGAAAGGATGTTTGGGACAAGGGTACGCCCATCTACCTTTGAGCTCTGAGTTTTGCACAGATCCTTAAATACAGGCCAAAGGATTTGCAATGAAAAGCTAGCATCCTGATGGAGATGCGCTGTGAGTTTAAAATACGTGCCAGGTTTTGAAGGCTTGATAGATCTAGAAGTAGAGCAGGTCACTGATGATTCTGAGATAGGAATGGGTTATTCTTAGATGTTAATAGATTTGTAGTTGTGACTTTATTATTAGGGCAGCTGGTTTTGCACATTTTTACAGAACATTGAGATGATAGTATTGTGGATATAGTTGGGTTAAATAAAAGGTATTGCTAAAGTTGATTTCATCTACTCCAGAAAATTTTAAATGACATATATGGATTGCATTCTGTTTCTAATGGGCAGGGTCCATCTACCCTGCATGAAAATGATGTTAAAAACAATAGTTACTTGTGACGCAACAGTTACCAGATCAAATTAGAGCAAGTGTCTATGTAAGCAAAATATGCAAAACGCATTTTTTTACATGTTAAATTTTACACATTAAAAATAATGTGATGATGTTACAAGAAATCTATTAAGATTTCTTTTTTTTTTTTTTTGCCTTATTCTCCAATGGCAAACAACTAATAATAGAGGCTTGAACAGAATCCTTATTTCCCAGTCTGCACTCTGCTGTGGTTGCTGGTGCCACTTACCATTTCTCATCTGCTACTCGATTTTACATTTTTTAAACCCAGATTTACTTGAATTGACTAAGGTGCGTGAAAAATCAGCTCCTTGTCCTGTAAACAGTCCTCCAGGAAAACAAAATGGTTTTGTTAAATGCTGGTTAGTTTGTGTTGCCTGCAGAAAGCTGGACCTCCGGTCGTGCTTTGCTGAAAAAAGGAGTCAAAACAGCAGTGGAGGGGAGGAGAAGGCCCCCTTCCACCAGACAGCCTTTCTCCTTGAATGAGACCGAAGGGCAGAAAGAAAACTGAGAAAGGAGTGGCTTTAGACACAACATTCGTGTCCCTTTTAAGGCAGTGAAACTACTCTGTGATATTGAGCCAGAGACGACATGTCAGCATGCTTCTGTGCAGACCCACGGGGTGCACAGAACTGAGCTGCCCCCTGAACTCTGGGCTTCTGTTAATAATAATGTATCCACAGTGGCCTCAGGACTGTAACGACCGTATCACTGGGATGCAAATAGGGGTTTACAACAGGAGGACTCGGGGAGAGTCAGGGGTATACGGCAACTCTCTGTACTTCACACTCAATTGTTTCTGTAGACCTAAAACTGTCTACAGAAATTAATAGATTTTAAAAATCTGTTCATTCAAAAGGAGAGAATGACGTCCAATTCGAGCTTTGTGTTGATAAGGATGTGTCTGTGCATCTCTAAAAGGCGTTTACTGTTTGATCTAAAAAAAAACAGGCTTAAATCTAATAATAATAACTCACATTCATCAAATGTTTATAATGTGCCAGGCACTATCATAAGGGCTTTATGCATTACCTCACAAAATCCTCCCAACGCCTACCCTTTCTATTGTGCCCATTTTATGGATGAGAACAGAGAGGTTGAGTAACTTGACTCAGGCCCCACAGCTGCCCAAGGTAGACTTGAGATTTGGACCCAGGCACCTGGGCTTGAGAAGCTCCCCGCTTTTAACCCTACTGACTCTTTGATTCCTAATAGCTCACTGGTCTGAAATGTCCAAGCCCCATAGTTATGATGCTACAATGTTTATTCTGAAGCTCAGAGATGGGATTCCTGAAAAGTTCATCCACTGGTGATTTGGGACAGTCACCTTCCCTCCCTGGCTTCAGTGTCCTTATTTGTGGAAAGAAGTACCAACCTCATAGGGTGGGTGTGAGCATTAAATGAGACAATATGTAGAGAGGTAAAACATCCCCGACCCGCAGGGGATGTTTGGCAATGTCTGGGGACATTTTGAGATGTCACAACTGTTGGGGGGTGCTACAGGACTCTAGCAAGTTGAGGCCCCGAATGCAGCTCAATATCCCGTATTGCTCAGGCCAGTGCCCTACCACAAAGAATGGCCCATCCCCAACAGACAGCAGTGATGAGGTTGAGAAACGCGTGCAGGACAGACCTTTCCTAGCTTCCTGGCAAACACAAATTTAAATCCTGTTAAAACACAGGCCCTGACTCAGCAGGTCAGGAGCGGCCGCATTCAAGGCTCAGCATTGCCGACAACACCCAGGTATGTGCCAGCTCCCTACTGACCCCGGGGGACACAATTTAAGGTGCAAGCATCTAAACTGTGCCTTTTGATTTCCTTTTTTTAAGTTGCGAGAACTTTTTTCATTTAAAGGAAACCTCACTACAGACCCTCAAGATATGAGAATGGACAACAGGTAACTATGAAGATGCTCTGACTAGAAACAGGAATGGGGCCACAAACTAGGACCCCACTGAGTCAGACTGGGCTTTCAGGCAAAAGGAAAAACATGTACCCGTGTGTTCGTGATTTCTTTTAAGACCACTTGTAAAAGAGAAATTGCCAATTTCAATTCCTACGGTTAAAAGCAAGATGAGCATAGAAGCAGATTTCTTAAATCCTGAAACCAGGAAAGTAAAATGCTAATAAAATATACTTTATTATGAGTCATACAAAAACAAAATTAGAATAAATTCTGGTTTAGGTATAAATAAAAGAGTTACGATCATTATTGTGAGTTTTAATACACCTACTTTTTAGTGTTTCAGTGTTTTTTCAAATTTTTAAATATGTTCAATATTTTATGGGGGGAAAATTAACTTTTCAAATGCACATAAAACAAATGTATTTTAAATACGTTAAATTTTCTGGGGGGAGGAATCAACCTTTCAAATGGACATCAAACATGCATCTGGGGTACACATTTTTCCTCTTGCCTCAAACTCCACTGTGGCTTGGCTTTGTACTGGCCCTTATTTAAGAATCTGGATATTGTGCACTCAGGCCAGCGCCTCGCAGCTCCTGGCCCTGCCGCAAGCCATCCCTGTCTGTCTAGGGCCCATCAGGGCCTCACCGCCAGCTCTCGGTGGCAGGGGACAAGTACACCTTTTTTCTCCCTGGCTTCACAATCTGACCACTGATGTTTCAATCTCCCAGTCCATCCAACTTCCTCTTTTATGTTTTTCTTAACCTCTTTCCCACTATCGACATCACCTCTTAGACATATGTTTTGCTGTTGCAAATTATTCTGTAAGACACTACACGGGTGTCATGCATCTGTCCAAACCCATAGAAGTACAACACCTAGAATGACCCCCTAATGCCAACTGTGAGCTTGAGTGATAACGCCTTCTCTGTGTGGGTTATTCAATAGTACAAGTGCACTGTGCTGGTGTGGGATGCGGGGGAGATGGTGTATGGGGGGGAAGGCAAGGGGTACACAGGAATTCCTGTACTTTCCACCCCATGTTGCTGTGAACCTACAACTGCTCTAAAAATCAAATCCATTTGCCAAAAGCACTATGTCACCCACAGTCTAGATTCCAACACCCCTCCAGTAACCAGGGGGCAGAGTGTCAGCTGCCAAGAAGCAGAGGGTCTGTTGGGAAGGGCTGAGAAAATGCCCAGGGGCGCCGGGGTCCCCGCCTCCCGAGGACCGGGCCACCATCTCTCACCTTTCTTGTCTGACAAGCTCACAGCCAGAATCTCCCAAGTGGTGATGGAGTCTTTCAAAAACACGTTCATGATCTTCGTGGAGATTCTGGATGGAGGAGAAGAGGGGCTTTAGGAGGAGACGTCCAGCAAGGGCGCTGTAGGGGGGCCTCGGGGGGCGGCCTGGAGGGGCTGCTGTAGCACACGCAGGTAGACCAAGTCATGATTTTTGTAGGCTGGATTCTGGGGTTCCACTGTGATGTCAGGAAAGAGGGGAAACTGGCAGGGCATTGACAATCCATGGTCCAGTCTGGGGTGGCCACAGGGGCTGGCCTGGGGGTGGCCCAGCATTACCCATTTTTCTCTGGCTCTTTGAATTCCTCGATGGTCCACAGCCAGCTCTCGGGGAACTGGCTTCGGGAAATGATGTCTTCTTCCGGGATGATTTCCTCATCCAGGTCACCTGGGAAGGGGAACAGTCGGGGTGTAGAACAGACCCACTTCCCTTGCTGTCCCCTCAGATACTCATCTTTCCAGCTCCAGATGGATTCCTAGGAGAGGAACCCACCTACAGCTGCAGGAAGACTTGTAGGGGCCTGGTACATTTTCTTTGGGAGCCCCTTCCTCCCTAGAAAGTATAAAAATTGTTTTGTTCAGCTGGGCTGGTGTGAAGGCAAAATAATCCAGGCTGGGTATATTAAATCTCCAACCTCTTGATTTCCATAGAAGTGAAAGCATTTGCATGAGCCTCTGCAAACATCGAGGCTGCAGTGACTGATGGTCACCGTGGTAGGTCCTGAGAGCGACCAGGTCACCTTGGGATTCCCCGGACATGGCGGAGACAGCGGAAGAGGTGGTGGCCTTCAAAACCCAGCCTGACTTCATCAGCAAGTAAACAAATTTAGGCTGCAATCGGGTTTAACCTATCTAACCTATTGGCTGGCTTTCCTCAGAAAATGATGGACAGATTTTAACTGGTCTCTGGGTCTGGAATTCCATATGTGGAATTCCATAGATGCGTAAATCCCAGTACTCTGGAATAATCCATCAAAGTGCCTTTGGGGTACTAACTTGTAAGCAACCCTCTGTTTTACCCCTAACTGTCTAAAGAAATCACACAATCCTAGAGAAAAAAACTACCTTGTGTGTGTAAACCATAATCCCAGTAGGTCAGAGGTTTGGTCTAACTTTCCTCTTTGGGGAAGAAAGTCCCCAGGTTACTGCAGTAGAAAGCAGGGTGTCTAATTAGTGTAATTTGCAAAGAGACTGAAGGTATAATCGTTTGCCCATGTGTGTTGGGAATCTTTGTGTCTTTGTGTGTGTGTGTGTGTGTGTGTGTGTGTGTGTGTGTGTGTATAGGCATGCTAGCTTTCCAGCTAAAAGTATTTATAAATATTTATCCATCTTGGCAATGGCTGCTTTTGAGAGGTGGCTGCTTATTTTTGAGCCAAAATATAAAAATACATATGTGCACAAAAATCATGCATTACATAGACAGATTCCACACCTATTGTCTTAGAGACTAAACGAAAATTGGTTTTTTTTGAAAATCTCCCTGGCTTCAATTTTGCCAGGATCTGATAGTTAAAAGAAATAAATAAAAAAAAAACTATAAAGGAATAAAGAGGAACTTTGGCAAGGGAGAACCTGACGGTCACTGCTTTAATCGAGTGATCAAGGTTCACATCACCAATAATGGGACAAATTAGTGTCACGTGGTTCAATAAAATGCACCGAGGACACAAGGTCTCTTCTGTGACAGTCCTGCCAGAAATGCACAACCTGAATGTGATCATGAAAAACTTCAGACAGACGCAAACTGTGGGACAATCCCTAAAATATCTGACCTGTCTACCTCATACATGTCAAGAACTGGGTCTAGACTGGATCCTTGTCCTACACAAGACCAAAAAAAAACAATCCTGGCAAAACTTGAATGGGTCGGAAGATTTGATGATGGTAATGAATCAACATTAGTGTCCTAATTCTAATGACTCTGCTGCGGTTTTGTTTCTAGAAAATCCACAGTGAATTATTTGGGGCTGTTGGGGCATCAAACAGTTCAGGGGGTGGGGTATGTTTTCCCTGCATTTTCTACATTTCCAATTTCTTTTCTGTAAGTCTGAGACGGTTGAAAGAAAAAGGAGATGATTATTTTTGCTGTGGTCTGCCAGCCTGCCACTGTGAGAATTTCCCAAAGTTCCTTAGTTTTTAAGCAAAGGTATTCTCTCTTTTGGTACTTTTTGTCCTGTGATCGATGACATAACTGTCCTCAATTTCAAGAGCCACTCACTCGCCTTTGCTCTTAGGACCCAATCTGATTGACACAATTTCCAGTCCAGTCCTCCATGAAAACGGGAGGATATGCAAAAGAAACCTGCCAACGGCTGATGACAGCCATCCCCAGGGCCACTCTGCAGAAATGGTTGCAAAGAGGAATCTGGACACATTCGCATGGACTCCAAATTTGCCAAGTCATCCTCACAACAGTCCTGGCTGCCAGAAGCGCACTTGCCATATATTAAGTTTGGACAATGCCCATCCCAGCAGAAAGGTCTTTCTCAAATTAAGACATATGAAAAGGTCCTTAAGAAAAGGGGGGATCAGGCCACAGGGGGCTCAAAGCCTTAGCAAATGGTAGTTAGGACTCCAGTCAGTTCAGTGAACGCTGCATTCTGGTGGAGGCCATTCCAGTTTTGCTTAAAATGGGCTTAGGATAAGAGCAATTTCTCTTGGCTTTGCCTGAGATATTTGTCCCCCGAGATGTGAAGTTTCAGGTGTGTGCATGCTTTATCTCTTCCAGAACTGAAGGAAGGAATGAATGAATGGCTGAGCGGACCTCCTTAGGCATCAAGTTAGATGCCTTCCAAAGCGGGAGGCAACGTGAATTCATTTTCTTTGCTAAAAGCAAGCTTGGAACCCATTTTAGTCTTCCCATTGGCCACGAGTGGGACCACCCGGCATCCAGAATCTTCCCTCAGGCTGTGGATGTCAGGGGCACAGGCAACATCAGACTTCGGACTGGTGGGGGGTGGGGGATGGGGGTACAGGGCTAGAACGATCCTTCCAGGCAGGAAATTCCTTTGCCCTCGGGGGAGAACTCTTAGCCCCTCAGACCTGGACAGCCTAACACCTACCCCCTCAGACAGGCTCCTCCTCCTCCCCCTCAGCTGGCCCCGCCCCCTCCGACAGGCCCGCCCCCAGCAGGCCCCTCCCCCAGACTCACTGCGGGCCAGCCCCAGGGGCACGTCGCGGCTGCGCTCCTGGCGCAGGCGGACGATGTAGTCGCAGCAGTCCAGGAAGGCCTTCACGCACGGCTGGTCCTGGAGGATGAAGCGGGCCCTTCTCTGGCAGGAGAACTTCATGGGGTTGTCCCGCATGCCGTCCTCGCAGCACTTGCGGAGCTCCTTCTGGTACTGCCCGGCTGCGCAGGCCCGGCCCCGCGTCAGGCCTCGGCCGGCTGGGGCCAGACCCCAGGGAGGGCTTCCCCCGGGCAGGCTCCCTCCTCCCTCCGGCGGGGGTCCCAGCAGGGGGCGGGTGGGGGCTCCCACCTTTGTCCATCCGCTTCTCCATGAGCTGCACAGAGCGACGGCGGCGGGTGGGGGGCTTCGGGCACCCCAGGTCTGAGGGGCGGGTGGACAGGAACAGGGGTTAAGCACCCACGCCTGAGCTAGGCGTGTCTCTGCTCCCGTTTGGCAGGTGAGGAGACCGAGGCTCAGGGAGAAGTGGCTTCTGCGCCCAGGGCCCCTGCCCGCCTCCTGCCCACAGCATCTGGGAGTGGGGGCGCCGCCCCTCTGCAAGCCAGCAGCTGGCTGCGCCCTTACCTGACCGCTGGGCAGTCTGGAGGTCGGTGTTGGTCTTGAGGGCCAGCCCTGCATCCGTGAAGACGCCGGCATAGTCCTGTCCACTGCCCGGCGTGCAGCCAATGTCGGCCTTCTCCACGATGTCCCAGATCTGGGGGTGGCGGGCACAAGGTGGGGAGTGGCCACGTCAGCAGTCCATCCACCACCCCCACCCGCACCCCAGTCCCCAGGCGTCCTCGGTGGATGACTCCAGAGGGACGATGCTGTTGGAACCTTACAGCTGTGCCCCGTGGCCACCCCAACTCGGACCCAGGTCCACCCACTGTCCCCCCTGAAATCTTACTGTGACCCGTCCATCCTGACCTCTCCTTTCAACCCAGCCGAACCCCGCTTCACTGCACCGCCGGTGCGCACCCAACACCCCCTCCGCCTCCGCCGTCTCCCTCCTGAGCCCAGCGGCGCAGCGCGCACCTTACTCTGAGTCAGCCGGTTCTTCTTATTGAGCACGAAAACGCCCTTGTCCACCGCCACCAGCCCCACGCGGGCCCCCTTGTTACCCTCGATCTTGAGGGTCATCTGCTGCCCCGGGAGGTGCTGTTTGTCTTCCTTTCCACCGCTTTTCACCACCAGCTGCAGGAGGCAGAAGGGAGCCCCGTGAGTCCCCGGGCGCGGGGAGGGCAGGGCAGGGCAGGCCTGGGCTGGTGGGAAAGGAGAGCGGGGTGGAGGCAGAGAGGGGCGGGAGCGTCCAGGGCGCTCCAGGGAGCGTCCAGGGAGAGTCCAGGACGCGCCCCGACTCGGGGGGGCTCACCGTGCCCATGCACGAGTCCTTGACGTCCACCCACACGGAGTCGGCCACCACCTCCCGCTTGCCGCTGGCGCCCACGAGCGTGTAATAAGCCACCACGCGGAAGGAAGGAATGAAGTCCGTGGTGACGGTCAAGGGCAGCACCACCAGGTCCTGGCCGGGCTCCCGCACCTGCCGCCCCACCTTCAGCACCTTGCCTTTGTTCATGATCTGGGGGGACAGGGAGGCACGAGGATTGACAAGGTAAGAGGGATGATGGGGGGACCGGTGTGGGGAGGGCTGCTGGGGGCGCTGGAGAGGCGGGGAGGCGGGGCGGGGGCTCCCGGAGGCGGCCGACCAGGTAGGTGTAGTAGCGGATCTTAGCGTCCTGGCCGGCGTCCGAGCGCAGGTGGAAGTTGATGTTGAGGGTCTCCCCGGGCTTGAGCTCCACGCGAGGCACGGAGAGGTGCAGGTAGTTGTTGGAGTTGCTCAGCGTGTTGTAGGGCTGAGCCTGCATGGTCTTGGCGGCCTGTCGCGCCTCAGGGATGCCCTCCTTGTTTGTGCGTACCTGGCAGGGAAGGAGGGTGCATGCTGGGCCCCAAAGACATCAGACTCCCTGGGGCCCTGGAAGGTGGTACTTTCTGTGGCCAGAGGGCTTTGCAGACGGCACTGAGTTAAGGATTTGGGGACGAGATTGCTGGGGATTATCCCTTTGAGCCCAGTGCTATCACTAGGGTCCCTCTAAGACAGCTATGCAGATGGCAGGACCCCAAGGGGGAAATAACGTCCCTGTCTCCGTCGGTGGGGCCCGGAGACTGGCGCAGACTCACGGTGATGCTCAGGGGCTGCCGGCTGTTGGGGGTGTTGATGCTCAGCTTGGCCACACCGTCATTCTGGGTTAAGGACTGCACGTTGGAGCCCTGAGTCACCACGGGGACACGGTGGGCCGGGGAGCCGTCGGGGTTCGTCACAAATACCTAAGGGTGCAGGGACAGGAGGAGGAGTTTCAGGTGGGCTCAGAAGCGTGGCCCATGCTCGGGAGCACGGTGGGGGGTGCAGCCCCAGCGTGAGTCTCACCATGAGGTCGAAGGGCATGGCAGGTTTGAAGAACTTGGGCGTCTTGGTGAAGTGGATCTGGTAGGGGGAGGTCACGATGGGGATCCCGCTGCGCTCTGCCTCCACCATGTCGCTACCTGAGGGTCGCCGGATGTGAGGGTGGGCTCCTGGGCTACCCCTCAGGTCAAGGCCTCCACCCCAGACTGGACATCACTGCATAGTGGACCTCCTCCTCAGACCGGGCCTCCCTCCTCAGACTGGCCTCTGCCTTGGATGGGCCTCCCCCCTCAGACTAAACTGCAGGCACTGGGCCTCCGCCCTCAGACCAGGCCTCACCTGAGTGCAGGATGACGGTGACAGACACGTACAAGGATTTCCCCACCAGGGCATCGGCGCGGGAGGGCTGCACCCCTCCCAGCAGGACCTCCCTGCTCAGCGTGGCCTCCCCAGTGCCGTCCTCGATCTGGGGGAGGGAACCAGGGCTCAGAGGTGGGGGGCAGCTGCGGAGGCACCCACAGAGGGGGAGGAGGCTTGGAGGGGGCTGAGTACCACAACGCGGGTGAGGGACTGGGCCAGTGAGATCTTCTGATCGCCGTCCTGGACCCCAAAGATGACAAAGGCTGTTCCGTCCACATTCTTTCCGTATAAGAACCTGCATGGCGAGGAGTCTCAGATTCTCCCGTGAAAAGCCAAGTGTGCCCCGCCACTTCCATGGGTCCAGAGCCCCTCGGGCCCTCCCCTCACCCTCCCCTGGCCCCCCCCAGCCCGTCACCTGGCTATGATGGTGACCTCCAGGCCCTTTGGGTCATCGATGTAGTAGAATTTCTCTGAGGGCTCCACTTGGACCTCGAAGCTGGGCAGCACTGGTGGGGAGAGATGGTACTGGTCGGGGGCCAGTGCGGGGCCAGCACTGTGGATACCCCCACCCCCGTCTCCCTCCTCCTCTTACCATATTCCTTCACCTCAAACTCCGCGGAGAATACCTTCTGGGGAGAATCTTCGTAGTGGGCTTGAATCTTCCATTGCCCCAAGCTGTGGTGAAGGCCCATGAGTGACCTGGCCAGGCCTGGCAGCCCCCCACGCCCTCCCCTGGGATGGGGGCCCACATACTTAACCAGCTCTGGGATGTTCCAAGACAAAGGCAAGATGCCAAACTGGTTTTGAGAAGACAGGGAGTCCCTCTTGATGGGAATGCCCTCGGGGGTCTGTGGGCAGACAGGGAGGGATGTGGCCTTTCAGACACCAGGCTGAGCTCTCCTCTCCCACCCCGTGCCTGGACCCTCTCTGTGTGTCATGTCTACACGGGCAGAGGTTAAGAACACAGACCTGAGTCAGTTAGCCCAGATTTAAATCCCCACTGTGCCGCTCACGTGCTGTGTGGCAAATTATTTAACCTCTGTGCTTAATGTGCACATCTAGAAAAAGGAGATAAACATGGTCCCTACCTTGTTAGCATGAGACAGTTAATGTGAGCAAAAGCTCATATTGAGTGTCTCTCTGAATACTCAATATCTAGCATTTATTACTTACTTTTGTGTGGGACTCTGCTCAACTTTTGACCTACAAGGATAGTAATTTCATGTGGTTTGACCTAATACATGTATTTGTTGCCCATGTTTGAACATCAGGAGATATTATGGAAAAATCTGGTTTTCTGGCTTCTCTTGACAATTGGGATAAGTGCGGGTAATGTGTTCCTGTTGGCTCAAGGTGGCGTTTGATTGGAGCTGGCCAGGGGCTGTGTGCAGCTTGTTTCCCACAGACCCCACCAGTCCCAAAAGCCAACCTGTGGCCATCAGTACGTGGTCCCTATTACCTTTGCATGACTTCAACAAATACTCATGAAGGTCCTATGGAGGTCACGCCTCCTTCCTTCACTTCTTCTTTCCCTCCCCGCACTCTCCATTCTTCTAATAAGTTTTTAGGATGCCCTATGTAGGTCAGCACTGTGCTGGGTTCAGGAAATAAGGCCCTGAGCAAACTGGTAAAAATCCATTTCTCTGTGGCGCTTAGGTTCAACCGAGGCTGGGGAGGCCGGCAATGAACAAATGAATACATCCAGTTTATGATGATGCCAAACGGGATGGCAGGAAGGGAGGGGAATGGAGTGAGTCAGTGTGTGTGCATGTGTGTGTGCACGTGTGCACGCACATACGTGTTGGGGGGGTTGCAATTTTACAGAGTGTGCAAAGAGGCTTCACTGTAAAATTGAGACATTGGTAACACTTGGGCATAGATCTGAAGGAGGTGAGGGGGCAAGCTGTGTGGGTATTTGGAGAGGAAGAGGGTTTTCTGGGTTGGGGCACAGCATGTGCAAAGGCCCCTGGGGTGGCACTGGGCCTGGCATGTAGGAGGAACATAAAGGAGGCCCTTGTGGCTGGTGCAGAGGCAGCTGATGGTGGCGGGAGGGCAGGGAGGGGACCTAGCGGGGAACTTGGGCTTTGACCCCAGGGAGGTGGGAGCCCTGGAGGGCTGTGAGCAGAAGAGGGGAACCTGATCCAGGGACTCCCAGGCGCCCTCTGGCGGCAGCAGGCGGAGCAGACTGCGGAGAATTACCTGTTAACCCCATCAGAAGAGGAAATTGAGGCTCAGGATGGGAGTGGCCCATCCAGAGTCACACAGCGATGGGGGATTACCTGGAGCCTGAGTCCACCGGCAATAGCCTCACTCCCCATGATTTCCGGGGTCTCTCCGGGCCCCTCTCTGTGTTTGTGCCCCTATGGGCTCCTTTCACTGCAGGCCTCTGCCTCTGTGCCTTTTGGGGGGCACTATCTCCTTCTCTGTCTCTATCTCGCTGGGGCCCCGGCCGTGTGGTACCTCAATGCTGACGATAACGGTCCGGCCCACAGGCAGCAGCTTGTCGTCCACGGTGAAGAGCCGGTAGAGGACTGGCAGGTGGCCGGAGAGAAAAGGGGCGCGGGGTGAGGCCTCGGCCTTCCGACCCCGCAGCCCCGCTCCGGCGCGCTCCGGCCACCCCGGGGCGCCTACCGGTGGAGCCTGGGGTGTAGATGGTTTTGTCCGTCTGGATGAAGAGGTACCCGCTCTGGAGGCTGACCAGCACCACCTTCTCCACCTGGGTGTTCCCGAAGGCCGCCTGCACGGTCACGAACTTGTGCCCCTTCTCGGATCTTAACTCCTTGCTGGCCGGGATCTAGGCATGGCCCCGGGGCATTACTGGGGTCTGTGCCAGGGCCCCTAGCCCACGGCCGGCCCTGGGTCCACCCATGACCCTCCTCACAGCGCCTGCCCGTTATTCGTGGTCTCCCCGGCGTGCCAGGTTTGGGGAGGGGAGGGGGTACCTGGAGAGGAGGAAGGGAGGGTGGCAGGGAGGGGGATGGGAAGGGGCCTCAGGCCCATGGGGGCGGGGCCCCGGAGGGGAGGAGGCTCGGCGCGGAGAGGGGAGGGGCGGGGTCGCCCCGGTGCGCGCGCACCTTGATGGTGACGGTGCCGAGGTGCCCGTTGGCGCCGGTCAGGTCGGTGCTCTCGCTGGCCAGCACTTGCCTCTTGGCGGGGAAGTCGTAGATGGTGACGGTGACGCGAATGTCCTGTTGCACATCATGGGCCTCGAGCAGCACCACCTCCTCGTTCTCCAGGCGCAGGATGTTGGGGGTGATCATGGAGTACCTGCCCGCAGGGGTACGGGGGTGGAGCTGTCATCCCGGGGACCCCAGATTCCAGCCCTCCCCTGGGGCAGCGCTGCGCCCCAGCCCCTGATCCTGGAATGATCGAGGGACCCGATGGCGTCGACCCCGAAACTCAAAGCCAAACTCAAAGGATACGTATCCACACTCACGTGAGCCAACCTCTAAACCCCAAATCCCCTGGTCCTAACCCTCCAGCACCCCAGGCCTATAGTACGAGCACAGCCAACCCCCCAGCTGGCATAAACCCGCACCAAATCTCTAAATGTGCGAATGCGGAAACCCACAAATCCTGAAGCCACAAACTCCCAAACCCAGAAGGTTCAAATTTCCAAGGCTGCGGGTCACCCCGTTGCCAGAATCACCGAACACCACATGCACGGGGGTGGGAGGGCTACAGACCATCCCCACTTCCATAAACACCAGCCCCATGGCACGTTGTAAACTCCGCTAACGCCCAACTCAGAAACGCTTGAACTCACAGGCGACCCAAATTTAGGAACATTGCAACTCCTGAACCACAGACACTCAAGGGCACCCCAAATTCTGCAGGGACCCGCACCCAGAGCCGCCCCTGCCTCAGAAGTGGGGGTGTCTTGGCTACTCACATGGGATTCCCCAGGGCCAGGGGGATGCTGGTCATCAGCAGCAGCAGGCTGATTCCTGGGGCAGGCCCCATGGTGCAGGGGCAGCCGGGGCCGAGGGCAGTGGGTCGGAGGGACAGAGGGAGAGAACAGGGCGGAGTGAGCAGGGGCTGCTGGAGGCTGCCTCTTATCTGACTCCCCCCTTCTCCCCCACCGCAGCCCAGCCCTTCGCTCCCCACAGCCTCTTCCCTCCCTGGGGCGGCCCCAGATTTCTCAATAGCATTTCCTAAGTTTTTCAGTCCCTGGGGCCAGCACATCCTGGGTAAGTAACCTGAGGGCATGTGCTAGTGAGCATGAACACTTCAGCCCCCTGCCCCAGCCTCCCTCAGGGTCAAGGCCAGCTGGTCAACGGGGACCTGTCCCCCCTGTTACACCCACTTTGTAGTGGGGGAACGCTGAGGGCCAGAGGGCCGCCACACACACCAGGTTATCTGGACTTGGCCCCCAGTCCACTGTTGGCCATGCATTTATTAACCAAGCCCTTCCTATGAGTCCATCTCTGTGCTGGTAGCTGGAGTCCTACTTCCAGAGTCTTCCAGGCTGGAGTGGGAGTGGGGGACAGGAAACAACACAGACACTCTTAATTCCATGGGGTGTCTTCCCTAGGGGAGAGCACTGCTTCCTGGAGGGTCAGGGAAGGCTTCTTGGAGGAGGCACATTTCAGCTGGGCTTTGAAATATGTGTAGAAGTTCACCATCCAGTTAAGCGCATCTGCTAGGACAAGGGGAGCCTGGGGCTCCCTTCACCTGCCCTGTCAGGGTGCCTCCGAGTGCCTATTCCCATTGCTAGCTTCTGTATCTGTCTTACATCAACACCGGCTTAGGATATTATTATTATTAAATCATATTTAATTTGTGTGTGTGTTGACAGATAATACATTCATACGGCTCAACATCTAGAAGGTACAAGTAGATACCCAGGGAAATGGTCATCTTCCTCTCGGCCCCGTCGCCAGCCATTCAAGCGTCAAATGAAACAGGCTGTGTAAACCGAAATCTCCCGTTTCTTTCCCGAGATACCGTTCATGCCCTTACAAACGTTGGCACATTAAATAGATATATATATCATTATGCTCTACACACTATTCTTCCTGGTCCCCCTGGGGCTACACCTGGCTTTTGCCGGAACAATACACCTTAGCAATTGCCTCCCATCAGTGCTGGGAGAACTTCCTTGTTCTGGCAGCTGCCTCCTGTTACGTTCTGGGAGGGAGGCCGGCCTCTCGGCGGGGGCTGCCGACGCCCGCGGTTTGCAGACCGCGCTTTCTCTGCCGAGCGATTTTGTGCTCGTGTCACTTTCCAGCTCCGACACTTAATTAGTGATACACAGTGGGCACGTCACCGATAACCACTCTGAGCCTCAGTTTCCCCATGTGAAACGGGGAGTTAGAGCAGCGCACGCTTTGTGGGGTTGTTATGGCCACCAAGGGAGATAAGCCCGGATCAAGGATCCAAGTCCGCGGGCGTGAGTGATCTCGCTAGATAGAGATCCGAATTCCCCTCCGCAGCTGCACTAACTTACATACTCACCCGCCCCGCCCCGCCCCGCCCCGTTCCCCCTGGCCTCGCCAGGGAAGAACATTGGGAAAGGTTTGAATTTTTGCCGAGGTGTCATTTTAAGGTGCATCTCTGATTCCCAGCAAGGCTGAGCCTCTGGAGGAGGCGGGCAGGTGTGAAGTCCGGACGCGGGGGGCGGACCGTGTGTGGGTCGGGGATCCTGGCTTCGGAAGGGCTGGGCTCCGAAGCCCCACTGAAGGGGTTAACGGGGAACTCGCCCTGATTTCCTGTAAACCACACTTTTTTCCTGGCCGTGCCCAAGTGCCAGGAGTGGGGGGAGGCGTGGAGCAAAGAACAAACCTGGCCTCTGTCTGCTTTGATTGCGACACCCTTTCTTTGGAAGAGGGGGACAGAGAGTGCAAACATCTGCTTACTGTCCAGAGTCAGGTCTGACTTCTGAAATGGGAATGGGGGTCCTGCTAGAATCCCCCAATGCTTCCTCATCCCCTGCCCCCACCCCCAAAAAACCCCTAGCCTATTTCCTGGTTTAATTACAGCCTTAAGTAAGGCCTGACAACTTGGACGAGGAATTCCTGCTGGCCTCTGTCTCCCTGCACGCCTCAGTTCACCCATCCGAACAGTGGGACCAGTGACGACGGGTCCCACCATTTTAACAATGGTGGTGGAGGTCTGAGAAGGGCCCTGGCCCTGATTTCCAAAAAGTCACCAAAAGGACGGAGGCAATAATGGGCGAGGTTTACTGGAGGGAAGGAATTCCCCGAGGCTTTTTCCTGGGGGATGTACTTTGGTCCCTGGGAGTTTGGGAGGAGGACGGCTGGCAAGATTCAGCATCGGGGGAGACAGAGGCGGCGGCCTGGGGGATGGGGCCTCGGTTAGCAGGAGCCCCCTGCCCAGCACAGGGCCTGCAGCGAGGGAGAAAGGGGCTGCCAGGTTGGTGCTGAGCAGGCTATTTGGGATATACTCATACTCACAAAGTCCTTGTTACTTATCTGAAATTCAAATTTAACTGGGCGTCCTGTATTTTGTCCAGCCACCCCAGCTGGGGGGCAAGGAAGGAAGGCGAAGGAAGTGGGGGTGATTTCTGGGAGCTCAGGCCGGTGAGGTGGTCTCCCTGCTGCAGTCCCCACCCTCACTCTTTCCCCACAGAGGCGCTGCCAGGCCTGGGCACAGCAGGAACTCCCCCAGCTCCCCCTGCACCCGGCTTCCAGGATGGTGACCTTGCTACACTGCTTCCTGAAAATGTCCCTCCAGGACCTACAGCTAGGCCCCCTCTCCCCCCACTACGCAGCCTGGGCTTCCTCCGCACTCCCTGCTCATTACTCATTAACCCACAGGTAACCTTGACCTGGCTGAGTCGAGCATCTGCTCCCTGGCTCCCCCCACCTCCCTGTCACTCACACTCAGCAGAGACCCAGGACCAGGACCCCCCCACCCCGGGGGATGCAGCAGGAAGAACTTTGATGCCAGTTCCGCCTTCTCCCAGCCTGCCCCTAATCTGTAAACTAGGCATTCACAGCCCTGGGCCCCGCGCAGGGAGCTTGAACGGCCTGTTCGCTTTTGTGCACCCCCACTCCCCCGCCCGCTGGCCACCAGGCCTTTCTTCCCCTCTCTCAGCCCGTGGCCAGCCCTCGCCAAGCGCCTGGACTCTCTCTCCCAGCCCAGCCTTTCTCTCCACCCCGGTGACCCTTAGTCTCCTAGCCGTAGACTCAATTCTTCCAGCCCCATGGAAACTGGGGACTTTTCCGAAATCTGTTGTCCTTCCACAAAATTATGATGCAGCAAACGAGATAGGTGCTGTGGCAGTGAATATCTCCACGAGGCTCGGTGGCACCGTTTTATCTTGTTCATGTGTCTAGACTCATTTCTCCCCCTTGCTGGGGCACTATTATGACCCCCATTTTACAGACCAAAAAAAATCCCAAAACTAACGCTGCTGGCCATTTGCTTGAGATCCTCTAGCTGGTAACCTGGTGTTTGAACCCAGACAGCTGGCTCCAGACCTTCATGCTCCTAAACGGTATGAGTTTCTAACTGTGGCTTTAACAAGTGACCCAAACCCCAGGGGCTTAAAACAAGACCCATTTATATCTTGGAGTTCTGGAGGGCAGAGGTGTGATGTCAGGGTGCCAGCAGAGCTGCTATCCTCCTGGAGGCTGTGGCAGGGGAGTCCATTCCTTGCCTGTTCCTGTTGTGAGGCCACTGCATGGTGTGGTTTGGGGCTCCTGCCTCCCCCTCTTTAAAGCCTGTGACCTTGACCTGTGTTTCCCTGTCTGTCTCCTCTGACTGACCCTCTTGTCTCCCTCTTCTAAGGATCCCTGGGATGACCCTGCCCCTTCCCCAAACTGGGGAATCCAGGATCATCTCCCATGTCAGGGTCCTTCACTTAATCCCACTGGCAAAGTGCCTTTTGTCGCGTGAAGTCCCATATTCTCGGGTTCTGGGGGTCAGGACATGTTTGGGAAGGCATGACTCTTGCCTACCCCGGGGTGCCCACAGAGGAAAACATCAGCCCTGTGGGGTTGTGCCCCTCCCTGCTTTAAACTCATCCTTGGCCCCCGGGGACCGCAACCTGAAGTCCAAGTGTGTCTGTGTCTTTAGGCTGCTCACAGCTGCTCTGGCCCACCTGCTGGCCCCAGCCACCCCGCTGTGGGACCCACAGGCTATTCTGGGCTTCATGGCCTGGCTCGCAGAACTTCCTCAGCCTGCAGTACCTTCCCACTTCCTTCTCTGTCTGGCTGAGCTATTTATTCATCTGGGCCCACGTTATACTTGTTTCCGTTTGCAGGAAGCCTTGACCCCAGCCTGATTGCTGACCCCTGTCCCATGCCTGTGGTCCCCACTGAGGAATGCCTCTCAGGGCTTCCAGAGGGGTCCTGGGCACTGCAGCTGAAGGGTGGGGCAGGACAGGGGTAGTGGGGGATGGCAGGGGGCGGTGAGAAATGCATCTTGGGAGCTGCAGGTGAGTGCAGGTGCGCATCTAACCTGCTGTCACTCCTCCAGGTTCAGGGCATTCCCTGAGTGGCCGGGTTGTGTTCCTGCACTGTGTGGAGCCCCTGTCACCTGTTACCATTTGTGGTACTCAGTGGCTTTATGGGTCCCCATTTCATAGGCTAGGAAATGCAGAGACCGAACCACTTATGCAGGGCCACACAGCAAAATAGGGGCAAGGTCAATTAGTCCAGGTGCAGAGGCATGGCACACTGCCCGTTTGTGAGTCCTGTCTCCCACCAACTTGTCAGCTGTGTGGCCTTGGGCAAGTCACTTAGCTTCTCTGTGCCTCCCAGGCTTCATGCTGAGTAAAGGTCCATGAGGCCTTACAGCCAGGGTGTGACATACTGCAGTCCCCTTGTGCTAGTTACCATTACTCAAGACTCTTCAGCCCGAGCCACTGATGGGTCTTCCAGTCACCAGCCTTTTCTCAGCTCCGGCCTGTGCACACAGTCGCCTCATCCGACCCTGAGCGCCCCCGGCCCCCTGTGTTCTCTGTCACCTCCCAGCTTCCCAGGTTGGGTCCGGGCCCTGATGACAGGTCCCTCTCCCTGTCCTCCCCGGCACTGTGAGCCCTGGAGGGCCCGGTGGGTCTCGGTCATTACTCTGTCCAGCCTTCCGCACAGGACCCGGCACACAGAAGTCACTCCATTCGTATTTATTGAATGTGTAAAGCAGTACATACTGCATACACACACACATATACACAAACCCGGGGGAATACGGGTTTCTCAACTGAAAACAGCCTCCAGGGTGGCAACACAGATTGGTCATTACTGTCCAGAGGCGAGTGGGGGGTGGTCCCGGGGTGGGGGAAGGCTGCCCACTCCCTGGGGGAAGAAGGGGCTATCTTCTTCTGAGTGGGCTCCGGGAACTGGGGCACCGGGAGCTGAGCACAGCAGGCACAGGGCCCCTCCTCCTCCCCACACACCTCCGGAGAGGGGCTGGGCCGAGGGCTGTCTGAGGGTGCGGGGGGGGGCGGCACGTCTGAGATGGAGGGGGTCACAATAGCTCCCGCCCACTGGCGGTTTTGTTGACTTTGGAAAGGCTTTCCTGGAATCCAGAATCGGTCATTCTAGAGACAGATGGCAAGGAGGCCGTCCAGGAGCTGGGGTGCCGCCCAGCGCCCAGCAGGCCTACCAGAGTCTCCCGTCCCCCCCGCCCAGACCGCCGTGCGGGCCCCGCCCCTCCCCCGCGGCCCCGAAGTAGGATGGCAGTGATCCGCGTGAAGTACACGTAACAGATGACCTGGGGGACGCGGGTGGGCATGAGGCCGGGCAACACCTTAGGACCCCTGGGGTGGGGGCCCAGATCATGGGCAGAGGGATGGCTGCCGGAGGGTATAGGCTGGGTGTGCCAATGAGAGTCGGGGTCTTACCATAACATAGTAGGGCCAAAACAGCTTCAGCTTGTCCAGGTTCACTGCCACTGGAGGGGGAAGCACAGACAATGGGGGTCAGGGCAAGGAGTCTGGGGGCAGGAGGAGGGGGAGAGGCATGAAGCCGAGCTGGGGACAGGGGAGAACATTTCAGGGAGTGTCCAAGAGGCAGAGCGCCTGGAGGGGGCTGTCTAGGGGCTAACGAGGTGGGCACAGAGGTGGGCGGGAAGGGGCAGCCCGGGGTCGGCATGAGGGGCCTGGTGCAGGACAGGGCTGGGGGCACGGCGGGTCCTGGGAGCAGGCCTCACCCTTTCCGTCAGTGCCAGATGCGTCCTGGAGGTGCCGGATGGACCTGGAACAGGGTGGGGGACACTGGTGGTCAGCACTGCGGCTGCGCAGGTCCTCAGGGGCGGGGGTTTGGCCTCCGGCGGACACCGGGGCGGGGTCCTCACCAGACCACGGTAAGGAGGATGGCACCACAGCAAATGAGGTCCACCAGGAAAAGGATCTCCCTCCAGAGCCTGTAGTCACTGGCACCCTCAGCACGGGTCTCGATAATGAAGTAGGCCACGTTGGCCAGAACCTGCGGGGAGGGGTGGGTGGGTGGGAGCGCCCCATGTGCACAGGGGCCCCCCACACCTGCATCCGCGCGCCCACTCCTGGCCCCCAAACACACCTGCAGCGGGATTATGATCCCAAAGATGTTCTCCTTGTCCGACAGCACGTACTTGATGAAGGCCAGGTCAGAGCCGATCAAGGCGATGCTGAGGAGGAGGAGGGCGCCCTTCAGCCTGGGGGTGCGGGACGTGCGTGGTGAATGCGGGGGCCCAGTTCTCCCCGCCCCGCCACCTGCCTGGCAGAGAAAGGCACTCCCAGGCGCGTAATGTAGTGCATGACAGCGAGGCCTTCGATGGGTGGCTTTGGCTGTTGAAGTTGTAGTTGATCTGGAGGTGGACAGGTGGATGGATAGTCAGACAGATGGACGGGGGGGTGGACGGATGTGGTAGTTTGAGAACATGGATGGTCACTGTCGCATGGGTGGTGGGGAAGTTGATGGAACTGACAGTGATGACCAGCACGGAGGTGGGCGTTCTCAGAAATGGACAGCCATGGGGACAGTGAGGGAAGTCATGGTTGGAAGGATGGCCAGTAAGACAGTCACAGCCGGACAGGAGGCCAAGCAGATGGTTGGCCGAACGCAGTGCCCAAGCCCAGGGTCTGCATAGACTGGAGAGTGGCCTGCACAGCCTTCTCAGGGGGCCCCGAGATGCCAGCCCGCCCCTGCTCCCCACCAAGGCGCTCACGCTGTGCAAGAGGAGAGAGATGCTCTTGGTGAGGACCAGGGCCGCCATGAGCCAGTGTATCCTGAAGACCGTGTACCTGGCGGGGGGGTTGGACAGAAGGGGTGGGAGGGCCATCAGTCAGGTGCAGGGATGAGGGCAGGTGGGGGACCCCCCAGGGTCAGGGGCATTACGTGTTCTTGCAGAGGACAGACACCCAGTAGATGTCGGCGGCCAGGAAGCAGGTAGACATGACCATGTAGAGCTTGAAAAAGGGCATTTCCACGGCGGACAGGAAGCCCTCCGGGTTCTTCTCCTGGATCATTACCTGGGGACAGGGCGGTGGTGGGCGGTGCAGGTTGCACACCAGCTCTGGACATGGTGGAGTCCCACCCTGCAGACTCAGTCTTCCCACCTCCCAGTCAGGTATCAGCCCCAGGGAGGATGGTGGTCCGTGGACTGCCACCCACTCCTGCACTCACCGTGATGTTGAATGGCTGCTCCCCACCCGGCATCAAGTTGTAGCAGTTGTGAAAGCTCAGGGTGTACAGGCCTTCCTCGGCCCTGAAGCCAATCACCACATGGAACAGGGGTGGAGCAGACAGGGCAGGGGCCTCAGCTGGGGGTCCCCACGCCCAGGAGGGGCTGCTGCAGGTGCTCACAGACACTTATGCTGAAGCTGTAGGAGTTACTGCGATGGCCCAGGTCCCACACCAGCTCCTTGTCCTTCCCTCCGGCTGCCTGAGGGGACAGAGGGCATCCTTGGAGCATCAGCTGCCCTGGACTGGGTACCCGTATGCTCCCTCCTGCCCCGACTTCCCCACCAAACCTGCAGGTCACCAGGAGACACTGTGTGTTTTGGCCTGGCCTTGTTGGGCACAGTGGTGATGCCTGTTGGGGGCGAATGAATGAGTTTAGAGATGGACAGACAGCAGAAAAGTGGGGGGACACACAGAACAGACCTGCTCATCCGCCCCTCCCCAGCTGCATGGCAGGCCTGACTCGCTGTCGCCCTTGGGGCTGGCTGTGTGCTCTGGCTTCAGGAGCCCTGGTTCTGGGGGCGCTTTGGGGAGAAGCCCGAGAGAGATGAACAGGTTCTTCTGCTTCCCATGCTTTCGAACTTGGACCCTCGGGTTGGGGCGGGGTGCAGGGCGTGAGGCGAGGAGGCTGGACGTGTGGTTCAGGTACACAAGTTGTGCCAAGCGACTCAATGGCCTCTTGGGCTCTCTGGGTCTGTCTCCTCTCTGGGGGCCGGCATCGCACCGAATCTGTGGTCACCAAGTCCTAGCATTTGGCCGCCACCCAGCAAGATCCATAGCTGCCTTGCCCCTGTGCTGCCTGCACCAGCCACGCCACTGTCATTTCCAATGACATCAACTCGCTCATCTACTGAAGTACATTATTGAAAAAGCAAACACCGTGTATCTAGAGAGGCAACACGGTATGGCTGGGCCGTGCTGTTGGCCTGCTTCAGTCCGAATCCCAGTTTTTGGGCCTCAGATTTTTCATCTTTAGATGGGACCAGAGCGGTGTAAGGATCAATGAGTTGACATGTGCAAAGCTTGAAGGACGCGGCTGGCCCATAGGAAGCACTCAACAGGTATGAACGGCGGCTATTCTCACAGCTCCCCTCCACATCTGGGTCTTCTGCCTTGAGACCCCAACACTGCCGGGGTACCCCTACCTTCTCCCCTTCCCATAATCATAAGTCTGGAAAGTGAAACAAAAAAGCCAGTGACTTTCTTCCTAACGTTCTTCTTCCAAGGTTTTCCCAGCTGGTTTATTTTACCTGATTCACTCTTGTGCCTATCATACATACCCCAGGAAACACAAAGGAGGGACTATAGGGAACTTGGGGCCCCCAACTCACTGCAGATCCTTGGTGTTGATGAGGAAGAGAACCAGTAGGTGGCTACTGTTTTTCAAGAGAGGACAGTCATGGGGGTCCCAGGTCTGGGGCGGGGGAAGAGGGAGCTTTGGTTCCTGCCTTCCACTGGCCTAACACCCCACCGCCTCCCTCCCTATCTACTCTGCAAGGGAGGGTCTCTGCCTGCTGCCCCCTCTGGGAAGGACCAGGGCCAGACCCTTCCCCACACCAGCCTAGCCTCTCCTCCTCCCTCCCCACCGCCCCCCTCCACTCACTGGGTAGGATCGAACGCTGCCAGATCGAATGCGGCTCAGACTGAACCCCACCTGGCAGGTGAAACGGGGAGAACGTGAGGGATCCGTCAGGGCACCCCACCCACCAGCTACCTCTTTCAATAGAAACGTAACTTGAATTCACTGAGCACCTACTATGTACTAGATCCCACATTCACTCACTGAATTACCCAGCAACCCATCCTGTCACTGGCCACCCTCCTATATGTTCCCCTTAACTCCGAGCCATCCTATGCCACTCAGCTTGGATGTCACTTCCTCAGCAAGACCTTTGCTGGTCTTGTGGACCCAGACTACTTGTTTATCCCAATTAAATTGTTGATGTAAGAAAATTAAAAAGCAGTAAGATAAAGTGTTGCTGATTTCCTATCTTGGGCTCTGGAATTTAGCACGCTTGGGTTTACATCTAGACTCTGTGACTTAGAGCAAGCCACATTCCTCTGGGCCTGTGTGAACGCCTGGAAAAGTGGGGTTACATTTTCACAGCATCCCTGAGGAGTGGTACCTGTTTTGCATGGTACCTGGTATATGGCAGGCATTCAAAAAAAATTGCTAGCGATTCATTTCGACTGTAGGAACTGAGGCTGTCTTGTTCAGAGTCTAGGACATATTGCAGGAGATATTCCCTCCATGTTACAGATGAGGAAACTGAGGCTCAGAGAGGCCAGGGGCCTTGCCCAAGATCAAGGATGAAAGGCAGAGCTAGGATGCGAATCCAGAACCCGGGGGAGGGGGGCATTGGAACTTGGGCTCCTGCCCTCTTCCAGTCAACCCCTCAAAGCCCCTCACCTGAGGGGTCCTCTCTTCTGTCTCCTGAAGGCTCAGCCGCAGCAGGCTCACGTCCAGCTCCAGGGAGCCGTCGGTGTAGAAGCCGAAACTGTGCAACTGGGTGTCTGCTCGCTTCTCCCCCTGCCGGAGACCAAGGAGGCAGAGGCAGCCCAGACAGACTTCTTCCCACCAGCCCAGGCCCGAGGGTCCGGCCCGAGGCTCCCCACGGGCCGTGGCCCCCTCCTGGTACCCCTATATTTAGGACGGGTCCAGAGGGTGACAGAGAGGCCGAGAGGGCCTCCCTGCAGGCAGTGACACCAGCCCAGCACCAGGCAGGGACAGGGCAGCCCCGGATCCTCAGGCTACAGTTCTGAGAGGCCAGGAAAGGAGAGCCTGGGGCACCTGTTGGAGCCCCCCGCCGGGTGAGTACCACCCCGAGATCAGTTCCTCATCGTGGTGTGCCTGGCCCTCACCTCCCGGGAAACTTTTAGGTTCCAGCTGAGCCCCTCAAGATCCCAATGAGGACCCAGAGGGCCCCATTCTAGAACTCACAGGGATTCCCCCTGGCGCCCCCAAGAATTTAGAGAACTAAGACTCGGGGATGCGGGGTGGAGGGGGTGGCGCGGGGGTCCACGGAGAGGAAGTCCCGCCCCCGATGGGCAGGACGCGACCCCAGCGCTGCCGGCCGGGCAACTCCACCCGGAGGCCTGAGGGGGATCCTCGGGCGAGACGACTCCGGGCCTGAAAGCGGGGGCGCCGGGCTGCTCCGTCCCGCGGAAGGAGCGGGGGAGGCAGGCCAAGACCACTCTAAGCCAGGGGCTTCTCCGGGACAGAGCTGCGGCGCCCGCCCCAGATCGTCGCACGGCGGAACTCACCGTCAGCACCAGCCGGTGGATACGCCCAGAGCAGCCGCCCAACCGCAGCAGCAAGAGCAGCCGAGGCCCGCACTCCGCGGGGCTCCAGCGGACGAGCCCCCTCCTCTCGCTCGCTGCCATCTCCGGAGCCAACCGCCTACAGGTGAGCCAATCGCCGCAAGGTGGGGACCGACCCTCAGGCTCTTCCAGTCCGCTTGACCAATCAGCGATCGCTCCTCGCAAACCCGCCCTAACACGCCACCAAATGGATGCCACCGGCTGCGAATGGGAGTGCTGATGCCGCTGAACCCCGCCTCCACTGGCACCAGTCACTGGAAAGAGTGTGTGGATGTAATTTGATAAACAGTGCACCTAACCAATTGTGTTGGATCTGATAGCTGCCTTTTGAAGCGGAATTCCGTTACCCGCTCTTAACTGACCAGTGTACATTACCCAGAAAGCAGCGGGAGCAGACAACGCAGCGGGGCGTTTAATAAACTACGTCTCCCAGTATCCCTAAGGACGGACTTCCCCTTATCCAGGGAACTTGGCTCCCAGCCAGAGCGCAGACTTTTAGTAAATACAAGCATCTCTTGAGGCCTGTCTTATTTTCCTAATCTTACTGATCCTCCGAGAGGGCAAAACCTGGCCCCAGGCTAATTCTTTATCCTTGGATGACCTATGACCCCGAGCTGAGTCCAAGCCTTTGGCGCCTCCTATCCCAGAGTTAGGCAACTGAAGGCCCACATCCAGATCCCAGGCTGGACTGCTATGGGCTGAACCCTGAGCCCAGGCTGAACACACTACCTGCAGCTGAGCCCCGACATCAGTATGAAACCGAGACCCCCTCACCCGCTTCTGACCCTCGACCTACACTGGGTCTTAATCTCTGGTTGAGCCTCACACCTGAACTGAGCCCTGACCCCGGACCCTATATGAGTCCTAGACCTCAAATAGGTTGCTGACCACTCTGCTAAGTCTCTGACCCCTGACCCTTCTGCGATCCCATTCCAACTGGGATGAATCCCAATTCCAATTTAAGTTTGACACCGAGACCCTAATCCCAGGTTGAGCCGCTGAGTCCAGATTCCAGGCTGAGCCCTTGAATCTTCTGGTACCGCAACCTCTGGAGCACAGCCGACTTTGCAACTTGAGGTTTTCTAGCTCAGAAGCCACCAGCAGGGGGGGCCAGGTTTCCGCAGAGCCATCTGTCCTAGTGCGCGTTCCGGAGCTACCCTCCGGGGATTCGCTAGTATTTGTGCAGGGAACCTGGGGGCTCAGACCCTGCAGGAGCGCCCAACCCCAGCAGGGTGTCTGTCACCTTTGTAGCACAGGGAAAGTACCAAAGGCGGAAGAGGAAGGGGTTGGAGCCTCTGAGATCTCTCCCCTTTCATCCCAGTGCTTTTCAAAAGGGATTAACAAGGTGTGAACAGATTTATGAGAGACGACGGATTTCCAAACCCCCGGGCGGGGTCAGAATATCAGAGTGGGTACAGACCAATCAACCCGATTGGGCCTTAATGGACACTACAGGAAAACGGGCAGGTGCAAGCACGAACTGGACGGCATCCGGGGAAGATCTGGGCCCTGCGCCGCAAGGACGCACCGTCCTCAGTATCCCGGTGCAGACTTTGGAGGGGGAGAGGCAGGATGCGGTGGGGGTGCTAATGGACCCGACCTTGGCGGAGGCGCGTCCGGGGCAGGATCGAAATCCTTCCATCCGCACTGTGGTCGGAGAGGCCGGACCATTAGAAAGACGAGCGTAGACGTCTGGAGCCGGGCCGGCCCGCAAGTGCGGGGTGACCTCAGGTTTTCCCTACCATGGGTGGGGGAAGGACTTCTTGGGTTGGGGTTTTAGTGTTTTGGCCCTTTAAGGAATGGTTGAAGGGAAAGAGGAAAGGAAGAACAGTCCGAGGAGGGGCAGGGATGGGGAAGATAAGAGGATCCCGGGAGATTTGGAAAATGGGTGGGGGTCCTTTAAGGGCTCAGTGGCGTCGGACGCCCAGTTTCTTGGAGAGGGGCGTGGCGGCCGTTTGGCCACGCCCACAGGACCCCGCCTTTAAGGCACCGTGCGTGGTGGGGGGGGCTCCGCGCGGGAGAGGGGAGGATGGAATACCGTGGGCGTGGCCTTCCCAGGAGTAGGCTGGGTCGCGGCGGGGCGGGGCCGGGCGCGCGGCCCTGGGCTGAGTCTCCCGGCGGCGGGCGGCGGGGGCCGGGTGCGGCGGCGGCGGCGGCTTTGGCGGGAGCAGCATGGACTGGGGCACCGAGCTGTGGGTGAGTCCGCTCGGCCCGTCTCCAAGTTCCTTACTTCTTGGGATCCGGACTCCCCAGCCCCCTTCGCCCCAGCAGGGCCTCCGCGGAAGCTGTGCGCCTCCCCCTCCTCCGACCTCTGGAGTCCCCCTCTCTCCGCTCTCTCTCGGAGTTTCCCAGGGCGTTTCAGGATGCCCGGGAGCGAAGAGCGACCTTGCGGGAGCGGCGTAGGGAAACTGAGGCACGGCGCTTAGAGTGAGGAGGGCAGAAGTCTTGGGACCAGGCCTGGGCGGCCGGGAGAGGTCACCTATTTTGAGCGCCCAGGCTGGGCCGGCGGCTTATCTTACGGCCCCTGGGTCCTTGCCCGCCGCCCGCCTGTCCGGCTGGGGCGGGGGAGGGGACCCTCTGGCCACTTTCAACCCCACGTGGGACATAGAAGTCCTGACCGCCATTTAAGTCGCCTCTAATTAACACGTAGGGACTTGGGACAGTCTGGGGGCGAAGGGGCTGCGAGGCTGGGCCGGCCCCAGACTGCCTCTAACCTCACCTCTGGAAGCCCCAGAAATTTCCCCCATCCTAGCGCGGATCTCTGACCCCTCCTCCTTCTGGGGCGGTGGCATCCCTGGGTTCCTGGGTGCAGCAGGGTAACTAGAACGCCCCACCACCACCACCCCCAACTCTGGGATTTATTTTGGAGGCGGAATGGAGTCAGTGGGGATAACTGAGTCACCCATCGGGGAACCCGGGGAAGCATGGAGACCTAGGAAGCACGGTGCCTATCCCTGGCCTTTCTGGGCCCCTCAGACTGCAGGGAACCCTGCCCTCTGGCCTTGACTCACGCCGGGCCCGCCGGATTTTCCGGAATCTGGGGGGATTAGGGGAACCGGGAGAGGGGGAGTGGCCCTACCCCATACCACACCCCTCTTGGTCGTTGGAATCGGGGACCCTGTCTGCCGGCTGGGGCCCCGCCTGTTCCCTGGCCCTTCCCGGGAAGGGGAGGGGGGTTCCGCCGGTTTCCTGCCTCCCCGGGCGCCGAGCCGGGGCGGGGCCGGGAAGCCCCTCCTCCTCCGAGCTCAGAGCCTGGAGGCTCTCCTGGCGCCGGGTCTGCAGGCTGTACAGGGTTCCGAGGTCCTGACCCCGGCCTCTCCTACCCCCTAACCAGGACCAGTTTGAGGTGCTTGAGAGGCATACGCAGTGGGGGCTGGACTTGTTGGACAGATACGTGAAGTTCGTGAAGGAGCGGACCGAGGTGGAGCAGGCTTATGCCAAGCAACTGCGGTGAGACCCGGGGTTGGGAGCCCCGGAGACTGGGAGATGGGGGACGGCTAGGGGGGCTCAGCCTTCCTGCCTCTGTCTCTGTAGGAGCCTGGTGAAAAAATACCTGCCTAAGAGACCTGCCAAAGATGACCCTGAATCCAAGTGAGGATGGAGAGGAGATGCAGGGCCACATCTGGGGTGTGGGAGGTGTGGGGAGTGGGTCCCCCTTCCTCTCCCTCAGCGGGGCTTCCCCAGCAGGTCCCTGACCTCTCGCCTCACTTCCCACCTAGAGGTAAGAGCATTCCTTCGGGGATCCAGATTACCAGGGGTGGAATCCTCAACCCACTACTTCCTAGCCTCTCGGCTTCCACCTTCCTTGCCTACTGAACGGGTGAGGCTCCAGCAGTTATTAAATGAGTGACTCTGGGCAAGTGGCTCCCGTTTTGTGCCTCTGTTACCTCGTCTGTGAAATGGGGACGGTGAAGACCCTGTGGGGCTCAGATGAGGATTAACTAAGATGATGTGTTAAAACAGTTAATGTCCCAGGAGCATTTCACTTTATTCTAGATCCAGAGTTACAGAATCCAAAAAAGCTCTAGAAACCAAGTTTTTTTTTTTTTTTGTTTAACCGGTTAACTTGTTTGGCAGCAACCTCTGACCTGCATTCACTGTTAATTACAGTTTTGGTTTTTAATCCCACCTAGTGTGACTGTTAATACCTCTCATTGCAAATATACTTATAGTGTTTGATTCCAGGAATTTGTCCTGGACCCCACTGGGGTGATGCATAAAAGATGGTGTAAACACTGTATTCCCCTTTCACAAACCCGAAAGATTCTGCATTCTGAAATACACCCAACTCAAGGGTTGGGGGCTGCAGATATGGACCAGAATTTATCATTGCTTCTGGGATGGGTGTTTTGGATCTTACCTATCTCCACATAGAGGTGGGTTCCGGGGCTTCTGGCTCCTGGTGGGGCCTGACCCCGGCTGCCTGCCTCCTCCCACTCTGCCCCAGGTTCAGTCAGCAACAGGCCTTCGTGCAGATTCTCCAAGAGGTGAATGATTTTGCTGGCCAGCGGGAGCTCGTGGCCGAGAACCTCAGCGTCCGTGTGTGTCTTGAGCTGGCCAAGTACTCGCAGGAGATGAAACAGGAGCGAAAGATGGTGAGCAGTCCCTTCTCCGGGTCTGCACCTGCCCCTGCCCCGGGCGAACCTGACCTTGTCTCTTTCCACAGCACTTCCAAGAAGGCCGTCGGGCCCAGCAGCAGCTGGAAAGTGGATTCAAACAGCTGGAAAGTGTGAGTTAGTGGGCCTGGAGAAGGGGGGCTCATGACGAGCAGGCTGAGGGTGGCTGACCCACCGCCGTGCTTGCTTTGTCTGGCCTGGACGCCCTCCCGCCATGGGTTTCCGTTTGCTGGGTGGCCTCTCACCAGGCCCTGAAACTTTGCTTTCCTGCCCCGTTCCTTGGGGAAGGTGCCCGCTTCATTCTGGTTGTGTTCCCGCCACAGAGTAAGCGTAAATTTGAACGGGACTGCAGGGAGGCTGAGAAGGCAGCCCAGACCGCTGAGCGGCTAGACCAGGATATCAACGCCACCAAGGCCGACGTGGAGAAGGTGCCTGTGGGGTTTGGGACAGGCTCAGGGGTCCGAGTGGGATGAGGCCAGAACCTGGCAGCAGCCCTTGCCTCGATATTCTTCAGGCCAAGCAACAGGCCCACCTCCGAAGTCACATGGCAGAAGAAAGCAAAAATGAGTATGCTGCCCAACTGCAGCGCTTCAACCGAGACCAGGCGCACTTCTATTTTTCCCAGATGCCCCAGATATTTGATGTGAGTGCTCTAAGCCCCCAGGCTCACCTTCCTCCAAAACCCTAGTTAACCAACTCCTACACATTTGTCAAAACCCCAGATGTAATGTCCCATTCTCTAAACTGAAAGGGACTTAGGAACATCCTTTAATCTGCCAGGCATGTCTTTTTTTCCTGTCAAAATTCCTGTTCACACTTATGAGACCCAGCTTTAACAACCCCTCTGCAAGGCCTTATATATCCCTTCTTCTCTTTTAGCCTCATACTCTGCTCTCTGTCTGGGACTGGCAGTGCTGGGTCTGCTCTTTCTTCAAAGCCCCGGCTCCACTGTCACCTCTATTGATCAAGGAGTGTGGGGGGGTCCTTAAACTCTCCTCTGAAATCATCTGGCTACTCCCCACTCCACTGTCTCCTCCAACCACACTGGGCTGGAAGTCTCTGTTGCATTCATTTCGCCACCAGCCTGGAGGTGGGCTGGGGCCAGCGTGCCGCCCCACGGTGAATCACACTGCTGCCAGCCCCTCCTTGAGCACCCCTGCCCCTGTCCCAGCAGAAGCTGCAGGACATGGATGAGCGCCGGGCCACCCACCTGGGGGCTGGGTACGGGCTCCTGTCAGAGGCCGAGCTGCAGGTGGTACCCATTGTTGCCAAGTGCTTGGAGGGCATGAAGGTTGCTGCGGATGCCGTGGATGCCAAGAACGTGGGTGCCTGGCCCCAGGCCAGTGGGCAGACAGGCGGGCAGCAGGAGGGCCCCCAAGGCTAGGCACCTTGTCTTGCCCCTGACTGCCCCCCACCACCTCCTCCAGGACTCCCAGGTTTTAATTGAGCTGTACAAGTCAGGCTTTGCCCGCCCGGGCGATGTGGAATTCGAAGACTTCAGCGAGCCCATGAACCGTGCACCCTCAGACAGCAGCCTGGGTACCCCCTCAGAGGGACGGGCCGAGCTTCGAGGCCCAGGCCGCACCCGTGCCAAGCGTTGGCCCTTCGGCAAGAAGAACAAGGTGGGGGCCGGGGCCCTTGGGTGGGGGTGTGTATGTGTGTGTGAGCTGGGACAGCAGGGCCCCCCCTGACTCAGCCCCAGCCTCTGGGACGCTGAGTCCCGGGCAGGAATTTTCCTCTTGGCTGCAGGCCCGGTCTGGAGGGAAGGAAGGCGGCTGGGCCATTGGCCTGGACGTCCCCCGAGGCTGAGGGTGGTGCAGGGAGGGGGCCTGTGGCGTCTGTCTGCTGCTTCTCAGGATGCTGGGGAACCTGCATATGGGGTTCAGGGTCGGGTGAGGCCTCAAGATGCCGGCCCTGGGGATGACCCCTGAGTCTCTCCATACCCTGGGTCTCTCCAACGGGCTGCCGACCCCAGGCTGTATTTTCTTGGGTGTTTAGCTTTCCATGTCAAGCACATATCTGGACACCCCCTAGTTTATACCTTTGACACCCCCTCCCTGAGTTTATATGTTTGATCCCCATTTTATACTCTCCATCTGTGCTGACACATACTCAGACACCCCCTTCAGCTGATAGGTGTGACCTCCCATCTTAAACCCCACTGTAACCCTTGTGATATTTCATGCCTTTGACCCTTTTCTCAGCTTGCCCTTGACCTCTGTGGCCACATACCTGTCTGAGAGCTTGATTCCCGCATGTCTCTCCCTCCACCTTCTAGACTGTGAGCCCAGAAAGCTGGGTGGACAGAAACAGGCCTCCCTGCGTCCCAGGTCCCATGCTAGGTACTGGACGTAGGATGCAAGGGACGTGGGGATATGGGGGTGGATGGGGGGTCGGGTGTCCGGTCTTCTGACTCACAGTCTAATGCCCTCTCTGCCACCTCCCAGATTTTTGTGTTGCTCTTTGCATGTGTTTTCTGTGTGTGATTGTGCATCTTGAGTTGTGGTTTTCTTACCGTTTTTTTTTTCTTTTCTCCATTTTGTTTTTCCGTTTTTCTTTATTGTGTCCATCCATCCGTCCATCCATCCATCCATCCATCCATCCTTCCTTCTCTCTATCTTCCCACCCCTCCCGACCCATCCCCTCCCCTGGCCCCCATGGGTAGTTGCGCCTCCCACCCCTATCCCCGCTGGGGGGCCCCCTGCCCTCGGCATTGCCTAATGGACCCCCATCCCCCCGCTCCGGCCTCGACCCCTTGGCCATACTGAGCGAGATCAGTAAGTCAGTCAAACCGCGGCTAGCATCCTTCCGCAGCCTTCGAGGCAGCCGTGGGGTAAGTGAGGCCTCCGGGGGAGGAGGAAGGGGCCGCCTTAGCCCGCCCCAGTGGCCGGGTGGCGGTTCCCTGGGCTCGCTTCCTGCCGCTGGCTGGGCCCTCTCCTCCCACTGCCTGAACATGGATCCGCTTTGCTCTGTGCATGGCCTTGGCCCCCCACCCCCCGAGAACCTTGTGTGGGGAGGAAGATGGAGTTGCTCTGTCTTAGGAGTGACTTAGAGCTTGAAAGCTCAGACCTCACGATCCTAAACTCAGTCCTCTTCCCACCTTGCAGACAGTGGTGACCGAGGATTTCAGCCACCTGCCCCCAGAGCAGCAGAGAAAGCGGCTTCAGCAGCAGCTGGAAGAACGTAATCGTGAATTACAGAAGGAGGTCGACCAGAGGTAAGATTTGGGGGAGACAGGCAGGGAACAAAGTAAAATAATAAATGAAATGGTACTCAAAGATCTCTTCCCTTACAAGCTCCAGGCCCCGATGGTATTATAGCTGATTTCTACCACACTTACAAGAAACAGAAACATGTGCTTTGCATCTTATACAAGCCATTTCAGCAAATGGAAAAAGCATGAAAGCTGCCAATTTATTTAGGAGTACGGTGGAATTGCAATTCCCAGGTCATTTAGCAGGAATTCAAGAAATTATCATTATAGGCTCATTTTAATTCACTTATGATCTTAAATGTAAAATCTTAGCCAAACCAATTCAGTGGTATATCTGAAAAATAATGCGTTATGGTGGGGATGGTTGCATAACAGCCTGAATATACTTAATGCCATTGAAACTGTGCACTTAACAGTGGTTTGAGTGGGAAATTGGATGGTAAGTATATTTTACCATAATAAAAAAATAACTAAGAAAAAGATGTTAAAGAAAAAAACCACCCATGATCATTTGGGTGTTACTCCAATAATGCAAAGATGGTTTGATATAAAAAAAAGTCTGTCCACCTCATTAATCATATTAATGGGCTAAAAGAAAAAAAAGAGCCCACATATGGATATCTATTTAATAACTCAAACACTTGAAATATTAACAATAGAAAGTGTGCCAGATTGAAAAAAGAAAATCTTTACTCACTTCTTCCAAGCAACAAGATCTTTCCAGTCCTCTTACATAATAGAAATGACGTGTGCCACTTGTGGACAGGCCGCCAAATTACATTTTGCCATCTGCACAGAACCTCTTGTATAAAACTTTTACTGCCCAAGGCTTTTACTGGTGTAAAGTGCCATTTGGAACTTTATAGTTCCTGAGTTTTTACAGTGTGGGAATTAAGGGTGCATGCCCCGGAGTCAAGACAGACTGGCCTTGAATTGCAGCTTCTCACCTTGCCATACCTCGGTTTCCTTATCTGTGACATGGATCACGTATTAGGACTGGAAAGAAGTTGAACCCAGGTTTGACTTATAACAAGTCTGTGTTTATTACCATTACTGCCTGTATGTATCATCACAGGAAATAGGGACCCAGGCCTGATGATAATAGCACTTAACATTTACAGAGCATTTACTGTATGCCAGGCAGTCTTACCAACCTTTTGCGTGGATTCACTGAAATTCCCAAGTTTTCCTGAGACTCACTATCTCATTTAGTCCCCTATCTCTGAGGCCTGCAACAGTGACGGGTGTGCAGCAGGCACTCTGTGTTTCTGAATAAATAAAGGCACTGTTCTCATCTTGACTGCCACTCATGTGAGATGTGTATCATTATCCCCATTTTTAAGATTAGCCTACTGAGCCAAAAGTTCAATAATTTAACCCAAACTCATGCAACTAGGAAATGCCAACTGGGCCTACAACCCTTAGTGGAGCTTCAACCACTCTCTTACGTCTCTTACATTGCCATTTGCTTCTCGAGGCAAAGCCCATATTTTTTTGCTTGTTAAATCACATGGGACTGTTCTTTCTCTTCTGTCTGTCTTGTCCTAGGGAAGCCCTGAAGAAAATGAAGGATGTATATGAGAAGACACCCCAAATGGGGGACCCCACTAGCCTGGAGCCCCAGATCACAGAAACCCTGAACAACATCGAACGGCTGAAGTTGGAAGTGCAGAAGTATGAGGTCAGGGCAGACCCTGGGGAGGGGCGGGGACCCTGGGCCTGGCTGAGTCACTGCCTGGTGGGGGGGGGGTGCCCCAGCTGTTTCTCATCACAGCCTTGGGTGTGCATGGGTGATCTCAGGAAACCTCTGGGCCCAGAGCAGGCGGACTCCGGAGCCTTGCCACGGGACTCACCGTGCGGTCCCTCTTCTCAGGCTTGGCTGGCAGAAGCCGAGAGCCGCGTCCTGAGCAACCGGGGTGACAGCCTGGGCCGGCATAGCCGGCCTCCGGATCCCCCATCCAGTGCCCCGCCAGACAGCAGCAGCAGCAATAGTGGGTCTCAGGATAACAAGGAGAGGTGAGTGGGGAGGTCAGTGTGGGCCTGGCCCGGGTCCACGAGGCCTGCCCTCAGCTGCTTTGCTCTCCCCAACCAGCTCTGAAGGGCCTCCCTCAGAGGAGGGTCAGGAGGCCCCCATCTACACGGAGTTTGATGAGGATTTTGAAGAGGAGCCCGCGTCCCCCATAGGCCACTGCGTAGCCATCTACCACTTTGAAGGTGAGCACAGCTTGGGGGGGCCCCATCAGCTGCCGTGGTGGTAACAGGGGGAGTTGTGTCTGTCGAGGCTCTGCCTGAATTCACAAAAGCAGAGCTGAGCCTACCACCGCCTCCATGACAGGGTCCAGCGAGGGCACCATCTCCATGGCCGAGGGCGAGGACCTTAGTCTCATGGAGGAGGACAAAGGTGACGGCTGGACCCGGGTCAGGCGGAAACAGGGAGGTGAGGGTTACGTGCCCACCTCCTACCTCCGCGTCACGCTCAACTGAACCCAGCCAGAGGCGGGAAGAGGGGGGCTGTCGGCTGCTGCTTCTGGGCCACGGGGGGCCCCAGGACCTACGCACTTTATTTCTGCCCCCGTGGCTTCGGCTGAGACCTGTGTAACCTGCTGCCCCCCCAACCCCCACTCCTCCCTCCAAATGGACCCGCTGTGCCTTCCACCATTGATGTACATACTCATGTTTCAAATCTTTTCTTCCTGCCGCTCGGCTAGGGCCGTTTCGTTTTATATATATAAAAAATTATATAAAGCTCTTGGAGCCTGTGCCTTATTAGATTTAGGTGCTACGGGTGGATAAGCAAACACTCCAGTGACTCCAGTATGAGAGGAGCACCAAACGCCCCCTCTGTTCATTCCAGCTTTACTGAGAACAGGTCGCATTGATTGAGCGCCTGCTGTGCGCCAGGCATTCATTTTCCACCCATGATCTCGTTTAAGCGTCGAGCTTTAATCCCCACGCCAACCTCTGGAAAATACCATCTCGCTTTTTATGTTGAAAGCAGGCACAGAGAGGTCAAGAAGTCAAATAGCCTCCAGAAGGCATGTGACCTCTGGCCTCTTATAGGTCTGCAGTCGCGCTTACCACACTCAAAGCCTCCTGTTCACCATTTGGGGGCTATATGTGAGTGGGTGGGACATGGGAGATGGCATCTTGGCTTCCAGACGCTTGGGTCTTCTAGGGTGCAGGGAGAGGAGGCTCCTCCCCATCCCAGGATCTGTGTAGATATTTAGGGGGCAGGCTTAGTTCTTGCAAACCTGGCCCCCTTCTGTGAAGCAGGGTGAGGGCCCCCACGTGAATGGCAACCTGGGGTAACTTCTTGGTTTCCGGCCAGGGTTCTCCCAAAGCCTGGGTGTCCCAATATGAAGAAGGGGGTCTGTGCTTTCAGTTGTCAGGCTCCAGGCGCTGGGAAAGGATGCTGAGGACGCGCTGGAGCTTCTCCAGACGTGTGGACGGCATGGACCACGTGGCCCCCGCGTCGGGGCTGCCCCAGAGCAGCCTCTGCATTCCGGAAGCCTGTGCCTCACCTCCGGGTTCGCCTGAATCCCGGGGGCGGGGCCAGGCGCGCTGGGAGTGGGGCTCAGGTGCTGGCCTTGCCCCTCCCTCCTCCTGCACCTGCCTTGTCCCCTGGGTACTTTGACCCTGAAGGGGCCAGGAGGGACACTGTTCCTGCTCGCTGGACAATTGGGGAGGGTTAATGGGGAGGGTTAATGGGGAGGAGGCGCCTGGATCTCTGCAGGAGGTGGGTGTGGGTGGCTGAGGGGCTCTGCCAGGATGCGTGAGGGGCAGCTGTCCAGGTGGGATCTGCGGGGGGCCCTGCTTTAGGGGCTGTTCTTGGGGATGCAGCTGCCCTGCACGGTAGACTTGGGGGAGGCTGGGCCCTGCTGGAGGTAGAGGACTGTTAAGGTCACTCGGCTGGAAGGACCCTGGGGGCAGATTCTCGAGTTGGGCTGGAGGTCTGGGGCCCCAGGACCAGGAGTGTGGCTCGGAATGCAGTGGGGGTACTGCTCTACCAGGTTGAGGACTGAATCATTTTGGAGGGAGCTGGGCGTTCTTGGGGGCTCGAGCTCCTCGGGGGGCAGAGTCAGAGTGGGACCCCATGGGCGGGGTTCAGGGGCGGGGCTGCCCCTTTGGGGTGGAGGGCACTGTTCCTGCTGGCGGGCTCAGGGTGAGAGCCCCTTGGGCGCGGGGCCGTCACAATTTGGGTGGGACTCTGGGGGGCGTGGCGGGAGGCTCTGGTCCCCGGCCCGGTGAGAGCATGCGGGGACCCTCTAGTTAGGGCAGCCGAGTGCAGGAGGGGCGCTCACCTCTCAGGCGCGGGGGCCGCCGCCTGGTGGAAGTGGGGCGCGTCACGGGTCATGCGCCGCGCCGCGTGCCGGGTGCGCAGCAGCTGCTCTCAGCTCTCGTCTAGAGGCCCCGGCCGTTGCTCCTCTCCAGCAGGCGCACGGTGGGGGCCACGTGCGGCAGTGCCACCTCGCCGGGGCTTGTGGCGGGGAGGGTCTGGCCCCGGTTCGGGGCACAGGGCGGGGCCTAGGGCGGGGAGGCTGGGGCTTGGGCCGAGGCGGGCCCAGGGGCTTGGAGGGATCTAGGGGTTTGAGCCCAGCACAGCGGGGCCGGGCTGAGGGCGGGGCCTAAGGCAGGGGCGGAGCCTAGGATGCAATGGGGGCGGGGCTTCAGGATTGGGTCCTGGACCTAGACCGCACGGGGGCGGGACCTGGGGCTGGATTAGGCTTCAGGCTGGAGATGGTGCGGGGCCCCAAACGATGCCGCTCGCTAGCGTCCTCGCTCAGCGCCCCCGCCAGCGGCTTCAGCTCCTGCTCGAAGCCTCCGCGCGACTCCTTCGGAGCTTGGCGCCACGCGCGCGCCAACCCGGACACCTAGGGGAAGGGACCCGAGCATGCCTCCTCTGTCCTCTTCCCTCTCACCTGCGCTCAGGCTGCCTCATTCCCACTCCCCGCGCACCTGGGGCACATGAGCAGGGCGCCCATGACAGCGGCCAGTACGGCAGGTACCCCGCCGCCCCTGGCCGCAGCGCCAGCTCCACCAGGTCCCACAGGGCGGCCGCGCGCCCCGCCAGCGCCTCTGCCTGTGGAGGCCGAGCGCAAGGGTCTGGGGACAGAGGCGACCCACGGCACCACGCTGAGCCCTGGTCACTCCCAGGCGGCCCGTGGCCTGGAGGCAGGGTGGGTGGGGGCAAGTGGGTATGTGGGTGTGGGATGTGGCTGGGCTTTGCCCTGGCGTCCTGGAAAGGAGGGACCTGGTAGGTGACCTACCTGGCCACCAACAGCAGGTGGAGGCAGTGCTCCCAGGATGGTGCTCTAGGAACAGGCCTCTGAGGATTCGGGTTCCAGAGGCCAATTCTGGGGGCCCAGCAGGCAGGAAAGGGTGTCAAGGGGGCAGAAAGAGACCTCGGCCTGTGGTTTTACAAAACGTCTGTCCTCCTTCTCATGGACCCGCATGGACAGGGGCCCCAGTTCTGGGCAGCTGTGGCCAGTGGGTGCCCCCTTATTTTGGGGACCGTCCAGCACAAACGAAGGTGTTCGAACTGGCTTGACTGGCGCCTTGGCACGAAGCTGCCCATCCAAGACCCTGAGGCTGTCAGCAGTGGACCCCAGGGGAGCCGGGGTCTTCACCAGCACGGGGTCACTGCCCATCCAAAGCAGGGCAGATGTGGGCACAATGGAGACTTGTAGGGGTCAAACCAGAGGGGGTGAAGAAGGTACACAGAGAAGATAGCTGGTGGGGTGGGGGACTTCACTGGTCACCACCCTCCTAGTTCAGCCACTCTGGGCCAATAACTGGGTCCCAGCCTAAGGTGGTGTGGCTTTGAACTTTGAACTTCACCAGTATAAATGCTACATGCTTACCACTGGGTTGAATATGAGCTTTCTTGGATACTTATGTTGCTTTGTGATTTCTGAATACTACATTTTAAACGGGAATCTTTGCTTTGGGCCCTCTGATTGAAGATGGTAAGCACTGACCCGACAAAACTAAAGTGGGAAATACATCATTCCAAATTCACAAGACTACAAAAGCGTTCAAGAAACAGAAGTTATCAAACTTCCAGTGATGTCTTTTGTTAATTTTGTGGCATGGCTACTTCCGAGGTCATTAGAACTTAAAACTGCACCCAGACTTTCGGAGACTCTGCATTTATCAAGCATTTGAATAAACCCTGTTACAGAGGCTGAACACCTCATGGCTCCCGGCTCACTCTGAGCCAGGGGCCAAGGTGCTCACAGTATCCAGAAAATGCCTCTGGATCTGAACCCCGGATCGCTTTCTGACTTCTGAATTACTCTCACTGCTTCTGCTACACTTACCTTCTCTTGGGTTGAATGAACAGTTCAAACTCTTGTTCTGTTCCCAGAACCTTTGCACTGGGTATTTCTTCTGCCTGGGCCACTCTTAGCCCCAGTTATTCCCACTGGTCCCTCCTCCACCTCTGTCAAACCTTTCTCCCTGGGGCCTTTCCTGACTACTGCTTAAAATTGAAATATACTTCCAGACCCATGCTCCCAGTCTCTCCTACTGTGTTCTAGTTTTAATTTTCATCCAAAGCATACATGATGGGCATATTTTTGTTGTTCACAGTCCATCTTCCTCTAGTAGGATGTTGTCTCACTCAGGCAGGGATTTTTGTGTTTCTTGTTCATGGATGTGTCTCAGCACTTAGTTACAGGGAGGGCTCTGGCTGAATGGGTGGTAGATAGGGAGGCAGATGGGGCAGACAGGGCATGAGGCAGTGCCCTCTTTTCCTAGGATGCTCAGGGTCAGCTGCTTTGATTAACTTACATTGGATGACAAGCAGCGAGTTAAGAACAGATTAGGAAATGAGTTTTCCAATGGCAAGAACAGCAAGTGCCAAGGCCCTGAGGCAGGAACAGATTTGGAAGGTTCCAGCAACTGGAACGAAGACCCTGTGACGAGGAAGAAGGGAATGTGGCAGGAATTATTAGAGAGGTCAGCCATGGTCAGAACACATAGGATTTCATGGATTATAGTAAACCCATCTTTTAAAAAGCACCTACAAAGTTCCTGTGTATTTTTTCACCACCATGACAACTTTAAAAGCATTATCATCCCCATTTTCCAAGAAGTTAAGTCTCCTGCACAAGATCGCTCAGGCAGTGAGTGGCAATCCCTGAGCCATGTGCTGCCCTTGTAGACCCTCACCTGGTCCACAGCGGTCTGTTAAACTGCCCCATATGTTCCAAGCCTGCAGTGTGACTGTCATTTGGCTTCCTCAGCCTTTTGGGGATGGAGGACAAGGGGTAGGGGGTTAGGTCTGAGCCCAGATTAGCAGTTAATTGTGATTCCATGAATCTCCACCCAAGAAAAACCACCGTAGAGACTGGGTAGTTTTGCACCACACTATTCCCCGTTTTCCTGTGGATGCACCTCGACTACATTTCCCAGGCTCCCTTGCGGTCGATTCATCACATGATAGGATCTGGTCAATAGGATGAGGGTAGGAGGGCTGTGGTAAACGGCCAGACTGCGGACCACAAGACCCTCCTCCTCCTGCTCGGTCCTGCAGGTTCTGTCTTCTGTCAGCTGACATTCTCCAAAACCCTGGGGGAAACTGGAACCACAAGATGGAAAAGGCTTGGGTCCTGATTTCTGGAGCTCTGCATCCCCATTCCTCAACCACCTTGGATGGTGACTTGAATAAGCCCATAAATATTTATTGTGCTTAGCTGGTGACATCTTGGGACTCTCTGTTACAGCCACTAGCCAACACTGACTAATGTGACTTCCAACCTGGGCAAATGCACTGGACTTGTGATTCAAATGTGACTTCAAGAAATGCCATTAACTGGATATTTCCAAAAACACTGCGGTTCCTTTATAAAAATTTTTAAGCAGTCACGCCAGCCGTGGTGTTGAAACTGGGGTTCTGACACCAGAGAGAAGTAAAGCAGAGCTGGCGATGGGGACTGGGGACTGAACAATGCACACAGTGGACACATGTATACTCCTTACTGCATTCTGGGCACTGTTTCAGGTATAAAACATATGAACACATTGAATCCTTTACCAAAATTAAGCACTAGGTACCATTATTCCCATTTTAAAGATGGTGAAACTGAGGCCCAGGAAGGTCAAATACCTTACCAAGAGCACACAGAATGTATGTGGTAGAGCTGGGATTTGAACCCAGGATATCTTTCTCAAGGGTGAAGGATTTTAAGCACTAAGCTATACTGCCTCTCATGATTTGGTTGGATGCTGAGGGCCACAGGACTCCTGATGTGACCAATGATTTGGTGATGGAGTAAGCCTTGGATTGAGAGGGAGATGCCAAAAGGGAAATGGGGCCCCCGTGGCCACAGGTGCCTGGGACCCAGAGGGAGAGACAGGCAGAACCATGGGGTGATTTCGGGGGGGGGGGGCTTTAGGACCTTCTTATTCTCTATCACCATCCTCAACACTCAACAAAAAAAGTGATCATTGAAATATAAAGAGTGACATTCCATGAGCTTCAAAACAGTCCCCAGGCCTCCAGCCACCCCTTCCAACAGACCCTGACCCTAAGTCCCTCATCCAAGACTCAGGAGTCCCCAGCAGGTCAGGGGCAGAAAAGGCTCCCATCAGACGGTGGGGACGCCCAGCAGGATGCAGAGTACCTGGTGGGACAGGGGACCATGGCACCAGGGTTGGCTGGCAAAGTCCTCTCCATCTTGTGACTCATGGACCTCTTGGAGGCAGAGAGTGCAGGGGCTGAGCTCTGTGTGCTGTCAACAGGCCTCAGTCTTGTAGATCTGCAAAATGGGAATAGTTATTGCTTGATAAGCTTCTTGAGTGGCCGGGTCGGCCTTTCCATGTTCCTCTTGGTTTCGTAGACGGCAACCCACGTCCCATCAAGTCTTCAGATGCACCTCTTTCTCTCTCTGTGTGTATCTATCTATCTATCTATCTATCTATCTATCTATCTATCTATCTATATACACACACACACATGCATACAGATGTGTTTTATATTCTAACATAATATATAATATCCTAAATTAAACAAGTTAGTCAGATTTTATAAATATTTATCTAATATTATCTATATATATATGCCAGGTTTTATATGTTTTTATATTTATATGTATATGCTTTATATGTACATGTGTATTTACATATATATATGAAATCTGGCAATGAGTGACTTTAATTTAGGATTGGGCAGCATTGTGAGGGATCATGGATTCACTGGGATTCTTGAAAAAGCAGAAGACCCGTGCACTGCTACCAAATGTAGCTGCAGTTTCTATGCAGATGACATACGCTATATTTTCTAGAAGTTTCATTAACTAATTTACTCAAACCAATATTTATGGGGCACCCACCATTGCCAGGCACTGTTTTGGGCACAAAACAGACCACAACTCCTACCTTCCAGGGAGATGCTGTGCTAAAGACAGAAGTTAAGAAAACAAATATGTAGATAGATCAGAGAGAGCTAAGGGGAAAAAATAAACCCAGGGATGGGATGTGAAAATTCAAGGGGTGGAGTTAAGATTTTCCATAGAGCGGCTCGGGAAGGTCTCAGACAGTCATGACGGGAAGGATTTTGATTTTGAGGGAGAGAACCAGGGGGCTCTCAAGGTGAAAGAACCTTCCAGGCAGGAGGGGATTTCATTTACTAATGTCCACAGCTTCTTAGCAATGTATGTACATACCCAGGATCCTCAGGACGTAAGAAAATCTAACCCATACATGGTTTTCCAATGTAACAGCATTTTAAGGATGTGAAAAGATTACATTTTTTGTAGAAATGTCAGCAAACAGCAGTTTTGTATTTACACATTGTTATATTTTGGAGCTGTTACACTTCATTATTATTACCCTTGAATTCGAGTCTTGGACACTTTGGGGCTTCCTTGATCATCTGGGTCTCAACATTGGGTGGAGAAACCTGTCCTGGATGGGAGGGAAGCAGGGGTCTCCTTCTCCCTGCCCCCCAGCCCCACCGGCTTCTGGGCCTAGTGGGAAATAGCAGCAGGATTCTTCTGTCCTGAGTCAGCCGGCTGAGGGCCTGCAAGGGGCAGGACGTTCCCAGACAGGCCCTCGGTGGCTTTAGGGGCAGAGAGCGGGGTCCAGGCGCTGCATACCTGAAGGTCAGGTGCTTCCGGGGATGCCTGCACACTTCCTGTTTGTCAGCTGAGCCAGGCCAGGCCTCTGTCTTAGGAGTCCCCCAACACCACATTCCTTTGTCCGAGGCCACTGACAAGGTTTTGTGACAACGCTTTGGTTCCTTTAGTTGGGTGGAGAGGGGTGAGCTCAGAGTGGGGGCTGCTCAGGGTGCATACAGGTCAGACACAGGCCAGCTAAATCATGCTCCTGCCTGGCGCCCTTTGGAATGATTTCTGGATATTTGGGCAGGGGCCGGAGGGAGGGGACAATATCAGGAGAGGGGGTGGGTAGGGGCAGGCAGGGGGAAAGGAAGGAGGGGATTAATGGTGTGCTATAGACCATATACACGTGCAGACATATGCAGGGGTGGGGGGCAGCTACCCACACACAGACATTGAGTCCCTCATAGGCACAGAGCAACTGACATTGAGCAAACTGGTTGAGCATTTACCGTGTGCCAGGCCCCGTTCTAGACCCTGGAGGCATGGAGGTAGGGTGATTCATGAGCCCAAGGCCCTGCTCTGTGCTGGTCTGGTGGGCACCCAGGGAATGAAGAAGGTCATGTCTAAGGGTAATCAGTGAAGGTGATAATACAGGTGGGTGTGATCAAGGAAGGCTGCAGGGGACAGGCTACTTGAAATAGGCTGTCCCGCCAGGGGACTTTGGAGCTGAGATATCAGTAAAGGGAAGGAGACAGTTATACAAACACTTGAAGAGAGAGCAGTGCAGGTCGGTGGTGGGTACGGGTGGGTGTGGGTGGGCCCAGCAAGTGCAAAGGCCTGGAGGGTGAAACAGGGAGCTTGTTTTTCACATTTCACATCATTAAGAGGATAGTGTGGGTGGAACGCAGTGAGCAGAAGCTAAGTGGAGAGCGGTGGGGTGGGCAGCGCTGAGACCATGCGGAACTCGGGGCGGTGGGGTGGTTTTTCATCTCAGTGGGATGGCATGGGATCCACAGAAGGTTTTTTTTGCATATTAAAATTAGATATATATTTTGCTATTCAGTTAGCAAATTTTTTGGTGTATGGTTCTTAAAAAATTTTTTATTTTGCTATAATTAACATACAGTTACATGAACATTATGGTTACTAGACTCCCCCTATTATCAAGTCCCCCCACATGCCCCATTACAGTCACTGTCCATCAGCTTAGTAAGATGCTATGGAGTCATTACTCGTCTTCTCTGTGTTATACTGCCTTCCCTGTGTGCCCCCCACCACATTATACGTGCTAATCGTAATGCCCCCTTTTCCCCCTTATCCCTCCCTTCCCACCCATCCTCCCCAGTCCCTTTCCCTTTGGTAACTGTTAGTCAATTCTTGGGTTCTGTGATTCTGCTGCTGTTTTGTTCCTTCAGTTTTTGCTTTGTTCTTATACTCCACATATGAGGGAAATCATTTGGTGCTTGTCTTTCTCTGCTGGGCTTATTTCACTGAGCATAATACCCTCCAGCTCCATCCATGTTGTTGCAAATGGTAGGATTTGTTTTCTTATGGCTGAATATTCCATTGTGTATATGTACCACATCTTCTTTATCCATTCATCTACTGATGGACACTTAGGTTGCTTCCATTTCTTGGCTATTGTGAGTAGTGCTGCGATAAACATAGGGGTGCATCTGTCTTTTTCAAACTGGGCTGCTGCATTCTTAGGGTAAATTCCTAGGAGTGGAACTCCTGGGTCAAATGGTGTTTCTATTTTGAGTTTTTTGAAGAACCTCCATACTGCTTTCCACAATGGTTGAACTATTTTACATTCCCACCAGCAGTGCAGGAGGGTTCCCCTTTCTCTGCATCCTCACCAACATTTGCTGTTTGTCTTTTGGATGGTGGCCATCCGAACTGGTGTGAGGTGATATCTCATTGTGGTTTTAATTTGCATTTCTCTGATGATTAGGGATGTGGAGGATCTTTTCACGTGCCTGTTAGCCTTCTGGATTTATTCTCTGGAGAAGTGTCTGTTCAGATCCTCTGCCCATTTTTTAATTGGCTTATTTGCTTTTTGTTTGATGATGTGTGTGAGCTCTTTATATAATTTGGATTTCAACCCCTTATCGGATCTGTTATTTATGAATATATTCTCCCATACTGTAGGATGCCTGTTTGTTCTACTGATGGTGTCCTTTGCTGCACAGAAGCTTTTTAGTTTGATATAGTCCCACTTGTTAATTTTTGCTTTTGTTTCCCTTGCCTGGGGAGATATGTCCATGAAGAAGTTGCTCATGTTTATATTCAAGAGATTTTTGCCTATGTTTTTTTCTAAGAGTTTTATGGTTTCATGATGTACATTCAGGTCTTTGATCCATTTTGAGTTTATGGGTTAGACAATAATCCGTTTCATTCTCTTGAGTGTAGCTGTCTGGTTTTGCCAACACCGGCTGCTGAAGAGGCTGTCATTTCCCCAACTGTATGTCCATGACTCCTTTATCGTATATTAAATGACCATATATGCTTGGGTTTATATCAGGGCTCTCTAGTCTGTTCCATTGGTCAATGGATCTGTTCTTGTGCCAGTACCACATAGTCTTGATTACTGTGGCTTTGTAGTAGAGCTTGAAGTCAGGGAGCATAATTCCCCCCGCTTTATTCTTCCAAAGACGGGTTTTAAGTGAGGGAGGGACGCGATCTGGCTTGTGGTTTAAACAGATCGCTCAGGCAAAAATGGAAGCAGGGAGACTTTCCACCTTGCACAGGAAAACACGCGTTAAAGGCACACGCCCAGGGGAGCCCAGGTAACGTGGACATGGGAGACGCACAGCGCCCCAATCAGGCACCCGCGCGCGGATAGTCTCCCCGATCCCCGGTGAGAACCGGTGGCCCTACCTGGAAAAGCGGACTCCCCACCCCAAGCATACCCTGGTCCTGGATCTGCCCGGGGCCCTCACTCACCTGGGTCGGGACCCGCAGAGCTCCTAAGGTCGGCACCAGGTCGGAGCTTGAGGCTCTAAGGCTCTGCGACCCTCCCTCCCGGCTCCATCTGGGTGCCGCGGTCGCGCGGCCCGCCTGATGGGAACCGAGCCCAGCCACCTGGCCCCGCCCCTGAAAGACCACGACCCCATAAGACCCCGCCCCTACCGGAACTCCTCAGGCTCTCGCTCCGCCCCCTTAGAGTTCGTCCTCTCTCTAACCACTCCCCTTGGATTAACTTTCCCTCCCCGCAGACCACGCCCCCAGGGCCCCCTTCCAGCGAGCCCCACCCCTTTAGAACGCCCTCCGCCGACTGGCCACACCCACTACGCTCCCCACCGCTTCTGGGTCCCACCCCTCAGGCTGGCCCTAAGCACCCCGATCCCAAGGGTCGGGAGGGTGTGTCCCTCTCCTTTGCTCACGGGGTTCCGGGCGCGGCCGGGGAGGCCCCTACCGGCTCTCTCGCTGGGCGGGGGATGGCGGCGGCCGTGACGTAAGAGGGGTGCGCTTCCTTCAGACCGCCCCCCTGGGTTTCCCGGAAAGGAACCCCAGTGGGTGTCGCGTCTTGTGGATAGAGATGCGGGAAAACACGACAGCCTCCCACAGTGACAGCACGGTGGGGATGACCTGGACTCTGGGGGGACACGAGGAGGGGGGACGTTCAAGTGGTTTCCTAGGTGGGAGGAGGGAAGTGAGGAGGGCTCCATCATAATGCCTGGCGACAAGCTTGAGAAAGGTGGGGGGACCTGGAACGAGGGAGACGCTCTGGCCACGTTACTGAGGGCGCATAATCATTACTGAAAGCCGTCTCAGCGGCTAACATTTATTGAGCGCTTACTGTAATGCCAGGATTGTTCTGCTTTCTTGACCTGCCTCAATGCATTTCATTTTTACATAGAGCTCCTCTCCGTGAGGTAGATCGTATCCTAGTTTCTTCACCCCCATTTTCCAGACGCAGACATTGAGGCACTGGGACAGCTAAGCCGGTTGCCTAAGCTGACCCGACTTTTGACTGGCCCAGTTGACATTCAAACACGGAGCCCCGGGAGCACCCTCCTGTCTGCCGCTGTCCCCTTTTCAGCCCCTCCATCGCTACTGGAATTCTAAACGGCGAAGCTTACTGTCGGGCATTTTACAGATGAGAACCTTGACGCATGGAGAGTCAAGGATGCTTGGGCATCAAAACTTCCAGACTGGGCTCCCCTCCCCCCCGTAATGAGGATGAGACTCCGGGCTCCGGAGGGGCTGGGGGAATGTCTTCGCTTTGAGCCCCTCCCTCTTAGTTTGGTGCGTAGGGTATGTAGGTGTCTTGCGCCCCCTAGCGGTTAAGGGATTAAAAAGGAAAACCGGATGGCTACTGGCCGTCTGTGGCCCTAGGAGGAGGGAAACCTGTACAGACAAGACGATTTCAGGTAGTGAGGAGGGCTACCAAAATAGTACATGCTTGCTAAACAGATGGATTCATGAGTGACACTATGGAAGTCCATAAGGGGAGAGGTGGTGGTGGCCAGTGCTATGGGGATAAATGAATGTACTTGGGATACATGTCAGAGGCAGATACGAAAGAGCTTTCAACCATTTATTCATTCGTGCATTCAACAAATATTTATGGAGGGGGTGGGGGAGCAACAGGGAACATAAGAGACTAATTTCTAAATAGACAATAAAGAAATAAGTATAGTAGAATATCAGGTTTGTCAGACAGTGGTCAGCGCTCTGTGCAGGGGAAGTCAAGTAGAGAATAATGGGGTGGGGAAAAGGCTGTGATTTGAAAAGAGGAGGTGTGGGAAGACTTCCTGAGAAGGTGACATCGAGCAAAGATCTGTAGGTGGTGAGGGAGCTTGCCGCAAGGTTGGTGAATGCAGGGGGATGGTTTGTGCAAAGGCCCTGTGGCAGCTTTCTGGGGCAAGAGGTTGGGGTGGCCTGATGTGTGGGAGGAACAGTGCGAAGGTTCGTGTGGCTGGAGCAGGGGGAGCAAGGGGGAGAGTGGGAGAGGGCAGGGCAGGGGGAGGACAGGGACTTGTCACATAGAGCCTTGTGGGCTGCAGGGAGGGTTTGTAGAATGGGCTGCAAGAAGAGGAGCTATCATGACTTGCTCAGGTGCTCACAGGTGCCCTCTGCTGGGACGGAGGGGTGAGGACAGGAGCCTGGGAGCCAGGGCGGAGGAACCGGTGTTGGTCCAGGCTAGCCCTGGCAGGGCAGGACGAGGGTGGAGGCAGAGGAGGGAGGGGTGAGATGAGAAGGGGCGGATTCTGAGGATGTTTCAGAGGCGCTACTGCTCAGGGTTTGGATATGCAGGGAGGCAGCAGGCCTCAGGCCCAGTTAGCCTGACTTTCCCAGGACTCCCCTTGCCCAGGTGCGCAGCCTGGGATGAATCGGTGGGGGAAAGAGAGGCTGGGTCCTGCATGGAAGGGGCTGGGCTGGGCAGCAGGTGCTCCCCCCGCCCCCCATGCTCCTCCTCCTCCACCCCCTCTCAGAGCGACAGTTACAGGCAAAGAAGAGGAAGTGGTAGCCAGCTAGCACAGGCGGCGGGAGGGCGTGCGGCGGGCTGTGGAGGCCGCAGCCATGGAGCTGTGGCGACAGTGCACCCACTGGCTCATCCAGTGCCGGGTCCTGCCGCCCAGCCACCGCGTCACCTGGGATGGGGCCCAGGTGTGCGAGCTGGCACAGGCCCTCCGGGATGGCGTCCTTCTGTGCCAGCTGCTCAACAACCTGCTGCCGCATGCCGTCAACCTGCGTGAGGTCAACCTGCGCCCCCAGATGTCCCAGGTGAGCCTGCCACCGGCTGGCGTGCCTGGGCGGGAGGTGGGGGGCGCCCTGGGCTGGCACTTCATCTCTGGGCCCACAGTGCAGAGGAGAACGTTCTCCCCTCTGGGGCTGGCAGGCGGGTCCGGGACGGGGGATGTGGGTGGGGTGACACTCAGATTCTGGGGTGGCCTACTCAAAGCTAACAGGAATGGGTGAATAGGCTCCGGGTGAACCCACATCTAGGCGAACTGGCAAACCTGGGGTTAAGGCTTCCAAGCTCCAGCCGACTCCGCTGGGGTTCAAGCTCTAAGACGAGACCTTGGTGGGGGGTTCTTGAACCCCTTGGGTGGCCGACTGGGTGCCTGAGTGTTTTGATTCCTTTGACTCTCGCCCCCCTAGATTCTGGCTATGGGGGAGGGGCCTCCACTGACTTCTTCCCCCACATGTGCCTCCTCCAGGGCCCGGGGCCCCTTCCTTCCCCTCACATCTTCCCCTTGGCTTCCTGCCTGGGCCTGGGTCGGCATGGGGTGGGTGGGGAGCCGCGGTCCGGGACTCCGGTCCCTCTAGCTCCGTTATCCCATGGGGGACACTGAGGAATGACTTGGTGCTGAGCCGAGAGAGCGGGTCCTGGCGTTTTGGAGCCTCGAAATAGCTGCTCCTGGTGGATTTGACCATGACCGCCCCCAGCGCAGGAAACGTATTCAAATCTCTATTTGAATGCGGTCGGGGCGGGGAGGTAACGTGCCGGGGTCCTCTAGGTGGCACCGTCTCTGGTTTCCCACAGCCTCCTGGGTGCTGGGTAGAGGCGGCGGATGCTGCCGGCTGCGTCCTGGGGTCCTGGGGGGGCCGGTCGCCGCGCTCTGGAATGAAAGTCTGGTCCCCAGGAGCGCGGGGGGCGTTTGGAGCACCTCCTCTCCTCTCGGAGGTGCTACGTGAGGGTGGGGGAGGGGAGGGAACTGCTCAAGGGCGGGCCCGCGGGGGCCCCTGGGGGCGTTTCCCGGGGAATCGGCCGTGGGTGCGGGAGGTGGTCCCGGGGAGGTGTGAGGCCCACCTCCCTACTCCAGGCAGGGCTTCCTGGAAGGATAAGGGAACCCCAGAGGCCCCCTTCCTCCATGGCCAGCCCTTCTGGCCGCAGGCATCCCACATTTGCCTGGTTTGCTTGCCTTCTTCTGGATTCCAGCACAGGAGGAAGGAGCCACAGGTCCTGGGAGGCCCCAGACCCGCAGGCAGTCACGGGCCCTAGGGAGGCTTCAATTGCAGCTAATGGGAAAGTGGGCGGACTAAGGACAAACTTCCATCCGCACCTGCATCCTGCCTGCAGCTGCTTCTCTGATGAGGGGCAAGGGGGCCTGGTCCTACTCTCTAGGGGACAGATAGGGTCTACAGGGATGTGTCCTAATTCTCTGTGCCGGGCAGCACTGGGGACCCAGGCCCAGGGCTGGCCCCCAAGGTGCTCCAGACTGGAGGAGACAGACACCCCCTAGCCCTGTGTTGTCAGGACTAGGGCAGAAGAAGAAACCCCTGTGCTGGGTGCCCTGGAGCAAAGGCAAGACATTGCCTGGGGGAATGGGACTTTATGCAAGAAGGGACATTTGTCCTGGGTTTTGACGGGTGAGGAGGAGCTTTCTCATTGCTTTGGCTTCCTGTGTGCAGCTGCATCAGTCGCCTGGCTGGGCAGGGGTGTTCCCCGATCTTCCCCATCTGAGAGCACGGCCCCTTCCTGCTCTGGCTTCAATCTGCTGGCAGACAGGGACTTGCAAGCCTGGAGAGGTCGCTTGGTGGCACCACCCTCTGGTTCAATGCGACAACCTCTCAGCTTTTTGCACACATCCCCCCTGTGAGCAGGGCACAAAGCTGAGCTTTGAGCAGAGCAAAATGGGGTGTGGAAGGGCAGAGAGGAGAGGGGGGATGCCCCCGGTGTGGGGAAAGGCATCAGTGAAGGTATGGAGGCTGCGATCAGAATGCTTCTCTCATCTCCTCTGCACGGTTTGCCTGCTTCTGCTCAAGTGTTTCCGAGGAAGAGGACAGAAATCCACCCATCCATCAGCAATGACGATGTGCGCCAGGCCTCTTCTTTGTCCTGAGACAGTGGGAACAAGACGCACGCAAACTCCTGTTATTGGGGATGGGAGGGAGCGTATGTGCTAAGGAAATGTGTAAGTAGGTGGTGGCACGAGCTCTGGACAAAACGGAGCAGGGAAGGAGGTCAGGAGTGTGGGGGTGCACCTTTGAATAGGGGGTCTGGAAGGCTTCTTTGATGTTTGAACAGAGACCTTGAGAAGGTGAGGGAAGGAGCTGCAGGAATCTGGGGAAACGGTGCCCCGGCAGAGCGTACCGCCAGTGCAAACACCCTGGGGTGCCGGCAGGTTGGTGCGCACGGCGTCTACACCACACAG